CGGCTGCTCAGATGAATTCAATCCCTCACTGATCAGAGAAGTCGCCCTGCTCACTGAGACTACACCACCCATGGATCATCCTACACTGAGGTGGAAGGGAGAAGACATCTGAAGAGAAGAAGATGGAGAGGATATATTATCAACATTCAGACAGCCCATAGAGAAAGAAACAAAACAAACGGTCACACCTGCCTTTAGAATAAAACACACTAGGTCTCTTTCTTTTAAACATTTGAATATTAAGTTATTTTAGTAGCGTAATCAGTTTGGGTTTATTGTGTAACATATTATCCAAATTAAATATTTAGGCCACTCATTCCCAATATGTTTTGGCTTATGACCTTTTATAACCAAGCAATGCCAACTCCTAACCTTCTAGAAGTGTTTTTGAACACTTTTTGCCTCTCATTCGAAATATTTCTTTAGTTCGGACTAAGAGTTGGGAGAGTCCCAGACACCACCTTTAAAGAGCAACATAAAGGTGCCCTGGAGAGACTATGGGGGGTAGGTCCGAGCCAATTTGATAAATAATGTTGTATGTGGTTCTCCTCAGCCTCTGTTCAGGTAGGACTCTCCCACTGCAACACTTGTCTTTGTAAAGAGAAAATGACAGGATAAAGTCGCTAACCTGCCTGTCATCTCGCACTGGGATGTTTCAGTGGATTTACCACAAAGGCTTGAATATGTGTGTACTCCGAATTTAGTTGGGGCTGGCTTAATCGCCTTCTCACAAACGAGTGACAGAAACACTCAAACCAGTCCAGACCGTTTGTTATCTTTTCTAAGAAGTCAGTCACAGATGGAGTGGATGTGCAAGGAGACAGTTACGCAGAACAGTGCCTGCAAACAGCGATTTCTCTGACACTTTAAAATGCTGCTGACATTTCAACGTAATTGTTCGGTAAAATTTCTTGGGCCATTTGACATATTAGGCCTATTAATTTCGGTGGCTGAACATTCGGTACATCCCTAATTATGAATCCTATTATTATTATTATTATTATTATCATTATTATTACTATTGATATTTGTATTATTACCACTACCATTGCTATTATTTTTCATTTCTATGTTGAACTTGCATTGGACTATACTGTGTGTTTTCCTTCCTTCAGCTCTCTCTCTTCCCCACGTTTAACTGGTTGAGGCCTTTGGCCATCCTCCCTGAGTCAAGTTTCGGTTCAAGGTTTCTGCCTCTGTCACCAAGTGCTTGCTCATGTTGGGAATTGGTTGGTCTCTGTAAATAATATTAAAAGATTACGGTGCTCTGTATGCATGTTATGATTTGGTGCTACATAAATAAAATTTTATTGAATTGAACATGGAAAGTGAAGCATTCATAAGACTTTTTCGACCCAATTTGTTGGCAAAAAGCTTACTGACAGCTGGTGAAAATCTGTCTAAATTCCCCCTAGGGCAACAATTAGTCCCGAAAACTTATTCTTCATATTCTTTCGGGAAAGAGATGCAGCTTGAAGCCTCAGGCTAACTCTCAGAGCCAACCAACAGACTACTACTTCCAGCCAGTATCCCTCAAATTGTTCATACATAAACCTGAGAAACACCCAAATATAATTATGCACAGAAGATTTAAAGAATGCTGGATTACATTTGAGTCTAAAGCATCTGGCTGTAGCAGTAAATCCCACACTGGTACCAGCTAAAAACCCTAATGGGATCAATGCAAAATTATTCTGTGTAGATGTTCTTCTGTTGGTTGATTGGCATTCATTTTTTAATCAAATTTAAACAATGTATTTCACTATTGAGATCATGTCCATATTAACATTTATTGAAAGCACATTCCTAAATAAAAGCCACACTATGAAAAAAAAACAAAATCAGAAAACAAGATGTTGGGAAGTTCCAAATTTAATGTCACCAGGGCCTTAATCACTGAGTCAAGTCAAGTCTCCTAGTAAAAATCAGGAGTGTCCTGGTTATGTTTTGTGCCTGTAAACATTGTATCCTGGCTTTCAGTAACCTGGATAAGGCCTTAGCACGGTCCAATAGAAGCCAGGTACAGTGGCATGTTAACAGCTTATGCAGGTTTCGGAGCATTCTTTGTTGGCACAAAATAGAGTGACTGGGACTTTAAAACACGACTGCACACATACACATAACCAGGTTTCGCGTGTTCATGTAAACATTATTGGATCATCAAAGCCAGGATAACGCTCAAAACCAGGAAATGACACACTCCTTGAGGAAACAGAGGTTATGTTCTTGGTATTGTATGTGGGGTTTTGGGGGAGGGGAATCTTTCTCCACCAGTGTCTATTTCATACACGCTTCTTACCATCGTACTGTTGCTATTTCATTATTAATGTAGTGTGGTAGCTAATTGGCTATATAAGAAAAGTATGTCCCCATTCTTAAAAGAGTACTCCACCACTTTAGCATTGCACGTCAGCCTTACAATGGACAGACAAAATGTATGCAGAGCCAGAGTTATCAACTTATCAGAAATATTCCACACATCCATCTTCCATGTCAAAACCTGGTGCCTACATTACCCACAATGCAACGTAACCACCTATGTTTTGGTTGGGGATATGAGTGGCCTTGAGGAGCTAGCCTCAAACAGAGAGGGGCGATCTGGTAAGATCTCACTTCTTTCGAACTCCACACCTCCAGATTTTCAAACTTGTAGTCTTCAGCCCAAACCGACACTGCCACAAAAGGTTTCACACAGTTTTTTTTTGTTTGTTTGTTTGTTTTTTTACACATATGCAGTATTATGTTGTATTTAGTATTCCCCAACACATGTAAACAGACTTTATTCTGCTAAACTCTGACTGGTGAACTGTTTCTCTAACTGGTCTCCAACAGCTGTCAGTGGGCCCACTAGACCTACTGACCATCACTTACAAAGAAAAACTATACAGAGAATATAAAAATGTGGGAAATTAAAATAATGTGAAAACTTTACAATCAGTGGTTGGGTAACTAATCGAAAACTGCATTTTAAATCTGTAAATCAAACTCTCCAATTATGATATTTTCAGATCATAAGCTATATAACTAGAGCCTTATGCTTGTCATGTTTGTTAGTTCATCTTTATATGAAGTCAAAAATAGATTACATATATTCATGTTACATGAAACATATGACAATTTCAGATATAAGATCACAGTTTTCACATTCTATACAGCTGAAATGTCTCTACTGTACTGTACTTATAAAGGCTCACTCTGCATGTTGCTGCACATGCAGACAGACTGTGCAATAAATGTCAGGAGGCTTTTTTTTAGACTGTAAAGTGGGATGCAGGGGGCAACACTGTCACACACTTCACCAGCAGCTTGGACTATTATTATGGCCTCCTGTGTTATTATGTGGATTTCTATGTCAGTTTTTTTTTTTGCTCGAGCACAGCGGCAGTGACTTCACCACAGCCCTGACTCAGTGAAATACACAGTACAGTTAGTCTTTTTATATATTGATCAGTGTTGATTTATTGATAAATATCACATTTTTAATGTGTAAACCCTCCACTCCTTCTTAAACACTATTAACTCATTAAATGTGTGTATGAGGACATGTTGCTGAACAAGCAAGCAACCTGCAAATCCTTTGCTAATTTGAATGAAACAGCAATGACAGATGTCAATACTGTCTTGTCCTTTGGAAACAGTTTTGCACATGAGTCATGCTAGTCTGCAGGAGTTCTTAGGTAGAAACACAACAAAGATTTTAAAAAGAAAAAAATGTATGAGGGGACTTCATGCATATGCTGCTGGTGCAATACAATGCACTGTATTGCACCAGCAGCATATGCGAGTCTTCTCTTTTTAATGTTCATCATCATGCTTTTGTACCTGCTGCAAAGACTCTACGTGTGCACTCAATTTGAAGATGAGAAACATGTCCTGGTAGAGCACTGCTTTATGTATTAATGAGCAAGTGTAAGCCACTTTCATTATTTCATGTTTCTATTCTAGTGTAGACAGTGATGGATGGTTTCTGCTGCCCCCTGGTGTTGGAGTACTGACAATATCTAGTATTTAGACTTCAGTCAAAGGCAGCTGGGGTTGATGTTTTAGCATGTGATTGCTGAACATATCATTCCAAAACCATGGGCATTAATCTGCTGCTACAACCACCTCCTCTCTCCTGGGAAGGCTTTCCACAAAGCTTCAGAAACTGGCTGCAGACAGCATTATTGAGGTCCAACACTGATTTTGGGTGATACGGTCTGGCTCACTGTTGGCATTCCAGTTCATCCCAAAGGTGTTGGGTGGGGTTGAGGTTAGGGCTCTGCTGACCAGTCAAGTTCCTCCCCACCAAACTGGGAAAACCATTTCTTTAAGGGCCTGGCTTTGTGCAGTAGGAGCATTGTCATGATGAAAATGAAAGGGCCTTCCCCAGAAAGTTTAAACACATTTGGAAGAAAGCTTTTGTCTAAAATATTGCTGTATAAATTTAGATTTCTTTTAATTGGAGATAAGGGGCTCCAAACCATTACAAACAGACCCCGACCAAGAGTACACAAAAGTTGCACACCATAGTTTATGTGATGCTGATGACATTCATGTGACAGCCACGGTTTGCTTTCTGAAGCCTCAATATGCTTCAAGAACTGCTTGTACAACCGTCTAAGAGTGTCTGAAACCCTTTCCATCAGGGTGGCATACAACAATTTTTGTAACTTTCAAAAACAGAAACAGGCCAGCTGTGCACTGGCGTGAACGTACAGGCAGGGTTTGTTCCTTAACCATTTTTAACAAAAATACTTTGCCTTTGTATAAAAGAGTGCAGAACCATTAATGCCTTCAAGAAGAGACTGTCAGAAAGCACGCACTGTTACCAGCATTCGTACAATTCACTGTGTGGAGACTACAAAGACATACATAAAGATCTGGAAGGTCGAGGGGGTGCAGCCAGGAGGAGGTTACGACGTGGCTTTGTTTGAAGCATACTGAAGCTTTGAATCTTCTTCAGGCTCTTCTAAAGAAAAAAAACAACAACAATCTATTCAGAATAAGATAAAGTCCAAAACAGTCATTGGAAAGCTTTATTTAAAAATTTGTTTGCAGAAAGAAAGTTTGAATTTGGTGAACACTGCAATAAGCCACAACTTGAGTTACCAAGTGCTCAATCAGTCATCTGTACAGTGAATGTGGATTTGATAAATGGCAGATAAGACACTTTTGCATACAAAACACCATGAAAATGTACAGACAAAAACGAGAAACTGCTAAATCTGTGTCAGCTCTCAAAACTGAACTCATTAGTTTTTATATAAAAGCTGCAACTGAATAATTACCAAAATTAACATAAATACCCTGGATGTCAGCATGTCTTCAAAATATGCAGAAGGGTTATTGACTCGAGACTCGCTGTGTCAAGATGTTTTTTCTAGCATGGCTCAATTAATCAATTGTACCAGCAAAAACAATATTGATCCATGTCTTTGGTCCCTGACCCAGGGTCAAAGTCAATGAAGCAGGAACCCCCGCAGGCACTATTTTACATGTCTGCCATATCCATGTAAAATAGTAGAGTTGTCATTTTGCTATGGCTTGGATTCAGTAATAATCACATTAATAATAATTGCCATAATCATCACAAGTGGAAGATTCGGCCAATCAGCTAATACAAGAGTTGAATAGGACAAAATGCTTTGTACAGTAACACATACTGTATTTTTAAAGCCTACACCCTCCATGTGTTTAAAAAAGATTTCGCAATCCAACCTCAAGAATCAATTTGACTACTTTTACATTTATTTATATATCAAAAAAGGGATTATACTGCTCAATTTCCTTTAAAAAAAACACTTTAATGTCAAAGAATCAGCCGTGAAATAATTAGAAAAAGAAATGACAAAGCAGAGTGAATTTAAACATCTTCTGTGGGAGCTGACCGTGGAGCTAAATTAGTTATTTCTGGTCTTATCATTCTGGCTACAGTCAGTCTCTGAACACAAAACACTGATCAGGAATAACTGACATGAAGGCTGTTTTCTGCCACAGATAACAGAGGTAATTATATGGAGAGAGCACAGTATCTGACCAATGTAAAGACCCAGACATTCACTGCATTTTTATTTCTACAGCACTGTTATTAAATGTAGTGGAATCTTTTCTGGTGATTTTTGTGTTGACATCACAGATTCCATATCCTCTGTGGATACAGAACATAGTTCTAGTACAAAAACAAAGCTGCTTTTTTTTTTATCATATAAATTCTGCCTCCACATACTGTCCTGCTGCAGTAAATATTGACTAGATCACAAAGTTGGTATTAATTCGCCACTGAACATAGTCCCTAATAAATCTTCTATTTCCTCCTGTTTGAGTAACATTTGTTAAAAACTATATATTAATGAGCATTATTGAAGATCCTCAGGTGGAGATGGGGAAGTTGAACACATAGGTCTGTCAACTAAAAATATAGAATAACACCTGCCCTAACCTTTAAAGTGTGAAACATTTCTGGCTGATATAGTTGTGTATAAATTGAGAATATTACACTTGCCAAATCAAACTCACTTTGGTAAAGAGGTATGGCTGATTTCCACAGTGTGATTCAATTTGGTTTTCTCATCTAATGCGTTTTTATCTGGTGATGGGATGGCTTTAGCTTTTACTGGAATTTCTAATTAAGCATCTGCAGCCACTTTCAGAGATGGACTTCAGTCTGTAAATATGGTGGCAATTTTACAAGGCAGCAATGTATTTAAAAAGTACCCAGAGTTGTTTTTCTGTGAAAGTCACACAAACCACCCACACTAGATGTTAGGACCTTTGGTTTGAATGTGGTCATACAAACACTCAGGCTAATAGATAAACTTTTAAATGCATTTGTGGCTCCACCGTCCTAAGATAGCACTGTAATAAATCTTATTTAATCATTGTATGCACCAGGAAAGATTAATAAATTAGCTTAATAAACCATTAAACATTGTGAATGAACCAATTTCAAGTTGTAATACAGATGTCCTCACAAAAAAGCTTTTTCAATTTCATTTTTCCCCCTTGTGGTAAGAAAAATCACTCAATTATCAGACATCAGTCTACATAAACTGTCATTAATGCCAGATGCTTACAGGATTGAACTCCAGCAAAACAAATTACCCACAGCATGTGAGCGAATATAGAAATTAAACAGGAGTCAGACCTTATGTCTTGTCACATTTATCCACGCTAACAACATGGCTCTATGGGCAGCAACGTCGGCCTGTGGGTCAGTAGGTTGACCACTTTTGTCCTGATTGAAATTTCTCAAAAACTATTTGATGGGTAGCCACAATATTCTATAGAGACATGCATGGTCTCCAGAAGATATATCGTAATGACTTTGGTGATCCCCTGACCTTTCATCTAGCGCCACCATGAGGTTCCCATTTGGACGGATTGCCATGAAAAATACAAAAACAACCACTGTAAAAAGTAGTGTCAAAACAAAAAGTTACCTTCTTAAAGCAGAAACTTTTTTTGACAAGATGGCATATAGAATGTTAAAACCAGAAAGGGCTCAGTAATCAGCAGACACAGGTTGGATTCAGTAGACAAGTTAGAAACAACTCACACAAAATATTTACACCCATATTCTTTTGTCATCCACCCAACCAAAGCAAAAATACATAAAGACATAAGTCTAACTTTCACTCATAGCACTTCACAAATTCACACCACTGATACAGCAGCAATAAAAATAACAGAAACCACTGTAGCATAATATACATTTCAATAGGCACAGCAGAGCATTGGCAAATGTAGTGCACATTCAAAGATGTGGGTCAGTATATGGCTGTCTGGTAGAAGTTCATTAACAAAATGAAACTGTTAAAACATGAAATTGACAGTCTGTTTTAAACCACTGACGGCAGAAAAACCGATCCAAAATGATCCAGAATCGAAAGTGATTGTAGAATAACAATGTGGATCCTGCCATCTTCAAAGCAGCACCTACAGTACCCCGGATAGGTCCTTCAGATTGATTTGTCAACGTTAAGAGTATGGAAAACAAGAGCTCCCACACTGCTCTACATCACATTTGACGGGGAGTCAGGGATTGCTTAGCAGCAATGAATCAAACTCCTTCAAGTATGAAGAAAACAATTCAACAAACTTCATTTCTTAAGCAAGTCGCCTGTGAAAAGAGGATGAATGAACAGCTGCGAGTATATTGTCCCTGACGCAGGAAATGGTAATGTACTGAGTTAGTTATTTTGATCAAACTTCAAAGCAACTGCAAATTTTAAGACTGCATGGCAGCCTTGATTTATTCCCCTTCATATAATGGAATGTGCAGTGTGAATACAATATCAAATTTAATCCAAACCAGAATGAGCCGAAAAAAAAAAAAATCTAAAAACACAGATGTATACATTCATCAATACAACAAAATGTCATTATGTGTCCAGCTCAAACTGAAAATCATTAAGGACTTATTCATTCATTAGACCTTTATAAATGTTTTACTTTCAAACCTTTTCGCCATATAAGCATGACTTAAACCCAAGACTATTCTGTCACAGTCACACTACGGGAATCCCAGTAACAACAATCACATTTCCCTTAAAAGACAAACAAACAAAAAAAAAACAGGTGTGAACGTGCAGTAAGCATCATCTTTAACTTTTTAAACTTTCAGTATTTAAAGAATCAGTGCTACATGTGCTACAGTGATGTCCAATAAGTAATGCTTTAAGTTAATGTAAGTGCAATGCATTCTGGGGCTTCACAGTTCCTTAACCATCTTTGTGACAGTGTTTTAGTGGTGGTCTCAAAAGAAGACAACCTTCATCGGGTAAAATCTATTTTTGCCAGAAAATCGCAGTCTGAAAAAGTTGCAATAGGAATCTATTGAGCCACCTGGAAGATTGACTCAACAGATAGCAGGGAAAAAAAAGGGGTTTGGGACGGAGTAAAGACAGGCATCCACACACCAAACAGGCTTAGATGTATTATACATCACAAATAAAAGTTTTTTTGTAACTGCAGTTGTATACTTGGTGGATTATGGCTAGTTTGCTAGTCATAAAGTCTTTATTTCATTATATACACGCACGTTAGGTTTTAGGAATAGTCGGCATTTGTTTTTTTAGCAAGGCACTAGCTTCAGAACTGAAACTGGTCCCTGAACACTGCACTGCAGTTGCCCACTGCTCCTTAACACAGACATCCCAAAACGGATTTAAAAAAAAAAACAACTTCTTTTGTGCCATTTTTATACTAGAACAAGTGCGCTGCGTGTTGCCAAAGTAAAGACTTTTAGAAATAATACTCCACCACAAGAGCAATCTGTTTAAATATAATTTAGCTGAACATGCACCACAGATTTCCTTTGTTGGCTACTGCACCTTCAAACATCTGACTGAATTTGTGAACTCCTCACCTCACATGGCAAAGAGAAACTCAGGAATGGCATGATTGTTGTTACCACATACATACAAGAATTATTCCACTCACCAATTAATAAAGCCCTCACACTTGGATCTTTTTTCTTGTCTCCGGTCAGAATAGATATTTAAAAAGTTTTTTACATTAGAGACCAGCTCCAACACAAACCTTTTCCTTAGGAAAAATAAAGAAAAGGGAGAAAAATAACAACAAAATAAAGTCCTCCACAAAGACACGTATAAAAAAGGTACAGGTGGACGGCACAGATCTGCTTTACTGCTCAACACAGCAGTCCGACGTGGACGGTTGCTTAAGAGACGCGCCTAATGAGCGGCAATAACAGTCTTACACACGACTCTGTGGGCCTGATCTCTTCAGATATCTCCTGTGTGCTGACATCATTTGGGTGGAGAGGGCCATATGGGGAGAGGATGAGCCTCTGTGTTGAAGACATACTTGTCTAAACTAAGCAGCTCCATGTCATCAGAGAAGAGCAGATACAAGTACTTCAGCGTCTCACCCAGAAAGAAACTCTCCATCTTGTCCCGGGGCCTGGGGTTAACGGGGTCACGGACATTGTTGATGGATGTGTAGCCGCCACCAGACACCTGCAGAAGTGGGGGTGTTTGATCAGGAGGTTTATGGCTACAAAACTCTAGAAAGTACTCTGCTAATTGCAGTTAACACCAATAAGCCTGTTAGCTTATCAGAGGTAATGTGGCTTGATTACGTACAGTAATTGCCTTGATAATAAAAAGGTATGGTAAATAGGTCTATCCTAAACTCATGCTGGTTTGTGGTCAGTTGTCCGTACCTTAGTGTAGTTATTGAAGCTCTGCAGTATGTCCCATCCCCAGTCTCTGTACTTGGTGTCCTTTGTGTATCTGTACATGTAGAACAGGCTTTCCACAGTTTCTGGTCTCAGCAGGTTGTGTCTGTCTGCAGGCTGGATGATAAAGGAGAACTTGTCAGTAAACATTAAAGTAATACAAAGGATTATATTAGGATCATTTTTCTTATTCAACTAGGAATTCCCACAAAAAATTAAAATGTCTCCCCGCAAACATCTTATTGAGACAGCAGCATCAGTGAGCGCGTGATGCTTCCTTCATAGCACTTTGAGGGAAACGTAAAAAAACAAAAGGAAGAAATAAAATTGTTCAGAATCAAGAAAAACAGATGTTTTGAAAACTAGATGTGACTCTCCTCATCCTTCTAGAATTCAGTTTATGGGGGCACTATGGTCTACTAGGTTTGTCTACTAGTTTTAAGTAAATAACAGAATAAATAAAAAATATAATAAATGAATTAATGATTTTACATAAAGCCTGGCTATACAAATAATCCCTCAGCTGCTGAATAAAACAGTCAGCAGTAACGACCAGTGAGTCAGGCCTGAGGCTCTGGAACAACCTTTACCTTTTTATGAGCTTTAGAGGATGATTTTTGATCATAATTTGATCATTTTACTGGAGTATTCTTTTAATGCACAGTATCCAATTTTGTTTTACCTTGGCCTTTTTCTTATGTGAATAAGAGTCTACTGTTTATTGAACCCTGAAGGTACATTCATCTGTGTATTGAAATCTAAACACCCAAGGATGTGCAACCTTGGGTAAAACCATAGTTTTGGTGGTGGTGTTTACAGTGTTCCCCATTACCAACAGTGGTTAGTTCTGAATTACTCATGAGAAATAAATGGATAAAGCCTTTATAATCTGATGTCCGTTCCCTTAGTTTTTAATTCAAGAATTAGAATGAGCTCCTAAATGCTTGAAGGCAGCAGTGGAGACAAGTACAAAAACACCGGATGCTTTGATAAACCTAAAGCAGTTAATGAAAAATAAAATTAGTGCCGAGGACGGTTATGTTCACAACTCCTGTGACTAGCTAATTAAAATTTTATTCAGGAGGCTCACTCAATTATTATTACACAGGCTCACTAAACAATCAGTAGTGGCTCTCACTCTTTTTGGTTACTTTAGCTTATTTTTTAATTACAGAAAGTGCACTCAATAGATAGATGTATCAGGTGCCTCCAAATACTCTTCCATTGACTTTCCAAAAACATTTCAATAAAAAAAAAAAGGTTCCAGCATTACTGCTCCCTTATATGTTTTGTCCAATTACTTAACACTTTTAAAAAGTCAGCTGCTATTCAGAGCAATGTTCTTGGTTTTAGTTTAAATTGACTTTGAAATTAACCTTTACAGCAACAGTCATATTATATAGACTAAACTGTATGTGTGTGCCATGTTGAACTCCTAGTGATCAGTGTGAGAGCGATAACACCACATTTAACACACCTGCTACCTTCTAACACAAACGAGTCACATGACACAAAAATGGAATGGGAAAATGGCTAATTGGGCCCAATTTGGACTTTTTGTATTTAGGGGTGTACTCACTTTTGTTGCCAGAGGTTTAGACATTAATGGCTGTGTGTTATTTTGAGGGGACAGCAACTTTACACTGTTCTACAAGCTGTACATTCACTACTTCACATTGTAGCAAAGTGTCATTTTTCAGTGTTGTCACATGATAAGATATAATCAAATATTTGAGGATTAAAAAAAAGGATAAAAAGATGATGCATGACTGCCACCTATCTGCTATTAGCTTCACCTTGACAACAACGTCACGCCCGTCACTGGCCTGTAGGCTGAAGTGCACAATCTCTGGGCTCAGCCCAGTTTCCATCTGTTTGTACATCTGGTGGCATGTCTCCATGAGCTGCACGGCCAGATCCATGTGGTCCTCTGGGAGGCCGTTGTGGGCCCCCAGCGCCAAAGTTCCTGGCAGAAAGCACACAAGGTGGTCCTGTAGAGTCACAAGAGAGACGGGTACAATCAGGAAGGACGAGACTAAGAAATGTTGGGAGATAATGACGAAAGCTGGAATTGATTGGGCTGGCTGATAGAGAGAAAGACTGACTGGACATGAGTCTGTACAGCGAAAAGTCTGTAAAGCACAAAGGCAGATTGATTGAACAAGGCGGTCACTGTCTGTGGATGTGAGTTCATTGACTTTTGGCACTGTGTGAGATACCCTATGACAATCAGTGGCACTTGTGCTGTGTTTGGTACTTCCAAAACACAGAAGGCCACGAAATATACATATAATATACAACATCACACACCATTTGAGGTTCTATGGATATTATTTCATGTTCTGAATTCTGGTGAGTATTTCTACCATTTTAGGGTTGAAGCGGTTATGGGATAACTCTCCAACAAAGGTCAATCTGCTGGGCCCCGTCTGTCTCACAAGGTGTTTTTTCACTCCCTCCAGGGCCTGAAGGTAGTCCTCCAACAGGCTGGACAAAACAAACAGGAAATGTTACAGATGTAAGTATTATAGAGTACATATTAGTTTGAATTGTTTGTGTACATGTCATGTCATGTTATCCTCAACATGTGTGTTTTTTTCAACCTCAGTAAAGTTCCAATATGTCTCTGCATTAATTGTTAGGATCCTTCATCTTAAGTGAGTCTGACTTTGTGAACATACAGTAAGTTTGCTTTTCTATGGCTCCGTTGTTGCAGCTTTTAATCCAGTGTTTTCTCTCACAATCACAGAAAATTGACACAGAAATGAGAAGCTGGAATTACTCGTCTTCCGTCTTTCCCCCCTGGATCCACTGTTTGAGCAGGTATTCATAGTAGCTGTCTGCCCTGGCACCAAGTGTGAAGACTCCTTTGTGGGTGAACTGGCCGCTGTTGGTGTTGATGAACATGGGCACTAGACCGTCTTGTTTGCCCGGCAGCTTGTGGACCAGCCTCATTACCTCATTCACAGCCTCCTGGAAAGGTTAAAAAAAATAAAAATATGACCATTAATGTCTAGACATGAGATAATGAACCCACTAGATTTCAAAAATTATGTTTTAAGCAATATATCATTGGGAAATATATTAAAAATTTCACACTGATGAAACTGGGTTCATCAAAAGCTATGTCTCACAGGGCTTGCTCGGTTTATGACAGACATTTTTCAAGCTCATGTCAGTGTTCATCTTCAGATGCAAGCTCTGGTTTGTGGAATCGCTCATAAATGACATGATGGATTTAAAGAAAATCCTAGCTCATGCTTGTCACTTCAATTATACAAGTGTTTGCGAGCTGCACCTAATGTGTTTACTGAAATCCTCTATTTGAACCCAGAAAAATTTCAGTCCATCTCAGAGAACTGGAAGTAATACCAAATTAAAATCATTACACAGACACAATAGCGCTCATTATTAAGTAATGGAGGCCCCGCCCCGCCTTGTATCCTGACCTGATACTGTGGGTCCTGGGTGAGGCGGCTCAGCTCTCTGAATTCCAGCTGAATGCTCGTGACCTCAGCCAGCGTGCTGTCTGACGTCCATCGAGGGGGGTGGGCTGTTCCCTTCCCAATGTTGACGTCTGAGAACGGGATCTTTGAGGGAGTTTTGAAGGCTGGCATCAACCTGGACCCGAGATCTTTCTTTAAGTGGAGAGAAGAAATATAGGGGAAAATTACTTTTTCTGTCTTGTAAGAGTTAAGTATCATTCAATTTATAATGAAATGCACCTGCAATGCTAACACATCAACAAATCTGAAGTCACTACAACTTACAACTAAAGTGAGATGGAGGAGGCACCGTGAACCCTTGAAAAACTCACAGCCCTAGACTGCTGTTCTAAAACAACTAGACAACAGAAGAAAACAGGGCAGTAAGAACGCCTGTTCTGACTTGACTCACAGCTTTCTCTAGGAAGAGTTGGTCTGCTGTTAGATGGTAGGTACTCAGCAGGCCCCCAAGCACACGGATGGTTGTCTCAAAAAGATTCACATCCACATTCTTGCTGAAGGAGAGCTCTTTCTCTACCCAGTCCTTTGCTTCGGCAAACTCTATGTGGTGTGAGGCAGAGTACATGAGTGGGAGGGGGAACAGAAAAAAATTAAAGAATTACATTTTATTATTCTAATTTAATAAGGTGGACCAAATATGATTTGAACCCCATATGAACCATTTGATGTGAGAGTTTTGCCTCATGTGACATGATCAAGTGGTCTCATAACAAACTCCTGAGACAGCCCCCGACCGAGGCTTTGTCAAAATTTTAAAAAGAAAGCTTCATTGATTTAGCATTGCACTCCTATAACACTGAAGGACTTACCATGTAAATAAAATACATAAAAATAAGAAAACAATGCTGCAGCACCAGAGATAGAGTGTGTGTGTGTGTGTGTAAACCAGGGATGAAAATTACCACCCACCACATGCAGGTGGTTTGGTGGTCAAATGTTGAAAGGCTACCCGCCACATCGGCTGTATTGGCGGGTAATTATATTCAGCAAATAATTTCTATTTGACAATAATTAGCAGCAGAACGGGGCTCTTGTTGGTTGTGTGTGTGTCGCACTTAAATTGGTCCCCGATGTACCAAGGTATCTAAAATCGTGTAACACACGGATTAGAGGCGTTCATTGGTTGTTGTTTATGTTCTTTTCATGTTGTGTTTGATTGCCGTAGATTTGCAAGAGGTGGGCGTAAGGGGACAGGCGACAGGAGTCGGGAGTGAAAGAGGGGAGAGTGAGAGTGTAGCCACTTTCATACGGAGATCAGCGCGGAACGAATATACGCATTTTATGTCGCAATCAACAAACAAAAGTTTGCAACTTTATGTGTGAAAGGGCTTTTATCCCGCAATCATGTGTGCTTTCACATAGCAGTCTGGCTTTACCCGGAACCAGCGGTGTGCTGCGGCATGTCAGCCGTGGCTTTTCACAAACAGATCATCTCGTGTCTGTCACCAACTTTCCCTGCTCAGAGGCGGACCATATCTGCTCCATAACTTTCATGAAGTGCAGCAAGCCAGCAGATTGGCGCAATACCCCAGTGAAATAATAAGGCAGCGTGAAAGCTACTGTTAGGAGCTAATTACAAAATTAGTTGTTCTAGGAGTGTTTTTAGCTTTTAGCTGGATAGTTGGAGGTCCAGTCAGTGTCTGACACACTGTCAGATCTTCTATTGGTCCTGCTGTCCCAGAGATGAAGGAGAATGATTCATAGACTATAAAAACATTGATCCCACAAAAGCTGTGATGCTGTGGCACAAGGACTCTTTCAGAACCAGGCAGCCAGAAGAGGGTGATTGTAGAAAGTGAGCAGTCTGACGAGGAGGTTTAAGTTCAATGATAAAGCAGTTGAATGATTAATAACCATATTGTAAGTTTATAAAACAATTACTGTTTTAAGTACATTTAATATCAATAAGATAATTTTACTTCAAATTTCACTCTGGCTTCTTCTTTAAGTTTGTATTTTACTCCCCAACACCTGCAGACAGAAAGCGCTGTGTAAAATAAGCAGATTTCCCTTTTAAAGTCTGTTTAGACCAAATGCAAAAATTTTAGAGATGGCACAATGATGTACTTTATGTACTATGATGAAAAAAATGGAAAGATGTGAGTGGAAGCAAACAATTGCAAATTTGCTCCGGGCAGCACAAATTATGGCATCTGGCAAGTTAAAACAACTTCAACAAAAACCTTGTAGTTTCTATATTGGTATCATATTTAGCAACAGTACTGACACATTTTAAATGACACCCAGCCCAAAGAGAGAAAATAAGTGAAATACAATACCTTCTTTTAGGCCCATAATCCACATGGTGTCCAAAGAATCAATAAGCGTCAAGCCCAGTCCGAACCACTCGCCAAAAGACTTGGAGATAGGCTTGAGCTCATCATGACCCCAGGCGTAGTCCTTATAGCCTTTCCACGCATGTCTGAAGGCATCACGTACTGCCTCCAGCCTGTCCACATTTACAGAAACTACAAACAAAGAAATGAATAAGAAATAAATAGATAATCTTTAAAGTTGGTATTTCCTCTAGGAATGTCTCAAGAGCGCACTCAGTGACTAATTTTCTGATTATTTTCAGTAGAAGGAATATTCTGCAACATGTGATACTGCTGCTTTGAGCATGGCAGGTTTTTATCCTGCAAGTTAGAAATGTTCAAACTTTAAGTTAAAAAAGGCACCAGGCTTTAAACAGCATATACTAACAGAGCTGGACAGTGCTATATTGAAAATAAATCTGTTTGAGGGGAGAAGTTTCTCAGTGGACGCAAAAAGTAAGAAGAAGTAAGTCTGAACTTTTCTCTATTCCTGAAAGAACAGAGAAATATGGGAGGAGGAGGGTCTCACTGATACAGGGTTGGAAAACAACACAGATTGACAGAATCTTATGGTTTCTGTGTTTCACATCATTGTAAAGTGAAAATCTTTGGGTTTTGAACTGTTGGTCAGACAAAACAAGACGTGTGAATTTGGACCTTGAGCTCTAGGTACTTGTGATGGGACATTTTTTTTGTTTAGTTTCTGACATTTTAAAGACTAAAAACAACAGATTAATGGATAGCTGTTGTTTGCAGACCAATGTGTAGGATTTAGTGGCATCTAGCAGGGAGGGTGCAGATTGCAGCCGGCTGATAACCCTTTCCTTCACCCTCTCGTTCAAAGGGTGTAGGAGAAACTATGGTGGCTGCTAAACTCCCGAAAAAATGAGAAAGACCCTCTCAAGAGCCAGGGTTTGGTTTGTCCGTTCTGGGCTGCTGGCAGTGCAACATGGCAGACTCCGTGGAGGAAGACCCGCTCCCTCTGTAGATATAAAGTGCTCATTCTAAGGTAATGAAACCAGAATGATTCTTATTTTCAGGTGATTACACACTAATGAAAACGTTTCTGTCAATATCCCCATAAATCTTACACACTGGTCCTTTACTTTCTCAAGTCCACTCACTATATAAAGCTCTTGGTAAGAATTCCAGCTAAGTTCAGTACTGACCTTCCAGTTGGACAGGGTCAGCAGGGTTGGCTTTAGCCGGGGGAGGCGTAGCTTCTTTCCCATTGGCTGAGGGCGGAGGCTCTGTGGTCTGGTCGGCCTCGATCATTGCTCCTCTCCAGCTGCATGACAAAAACACAAACCTGTCTTACGCCTGAATTATTTATAACTGCTTCTCTGATAACTGTACAAGGGCTACAGGGCCTGGGTGCAGCTACAAAATGTTTGATTCTGGTCTCTGATTAATCTCATGTCAACAAGTAGTCTATCTTTCTCACCAGCTCCAAAGCCTTCTGTACAGTTGCTTATGTAAATGCTCCGTATTTGTATAGCGCCTTTCTAGTCTTTGACGCGTTTTTACACTACATCTGCATTCACCCACATTCATGCGCTGAGCCTAAGTGCTCAAACAGAAACATTCATATTCATACACTGGCCGATTCGGGGTTCAGTATCTTGCCCAAGGACACTTCAACATGCAGCCTGGAGGAGCCAGGGATTGAACCGCCGACCTTCTGATTAACGGGCAACCTGCTCTAACACTGGAGAGTTAAGTAGGGGGAAAAACAGATCACCTGACAATCTTCTTTTCTTTGTCCTCCTCCTCCTCTCCTCCATCTTGAACCACCTCTTGCTTTTCCCCACCATCTGTGTCTGACATGTTTCCCTCTTTCTGAAGGCTTGGTGGACCTCTTTTGCCTGGGAATGTCTTTTTCTGTGAATAAATAAACAGCTAGAGCTCAAAACAGAAGGGCCAACACGAACACTTCATGGAAAAGGACTAACAAGTGTCTAAATATGAAAATCCACATAGGGTTTTGGTATCAAGAGTAATCTTTTACAACCAAATTAGCAAAGTGAATCAACTAAAACTTTCTTAATGTGTTTTATTATGTCACTTTAGTTATGTGTGATGTACGTTTAATGTGTAAATGTAATTAACACAACATGTGGTATTCTGGTAAGAAACAGCAGATGGAAATTAGCAAATGATGTCCCTGAAATACATAAACAAAAAGCTAACCTTAATGGGAGGTTTTGCCAGAATAGCGACATTTGGTCCTCTGGGCTCCACCAAAGCATCTGGCCCCACAGCTGGCCCTGCCACAGGAACCTGAGCTTTACCTGCAGCTTGTTCCAATATAGACTTCACAGCTGGAGGAATGGTCTTTAGCTCTCTGTCATTCAGCTCCAACCAGTCCTCCCTGTCAGACAACCCTACACACACACACACACACACACACACACACACACAATAAACACGAAAACAAGGACTAAAGTCCACATTATGCCAGCTAATGATATCATATAGCTATCACTATATTATGGTTCTGAAGTCCTCTAAAAAAATATATTTCATAATTCATAATTCAAAATAGACTACAGGAAGTTGTCTTGCTAACTTTACTACTACACAGCACCTGACAGAGTCTGAACAGGCATATAGTATCTAATACTTTCCTAAAAGCTCAGTTTTCCCAGTATGCACTAAAATGCAAGGATATTTCAGTTTGCAGAGGGATTTTCAGAAAGCTCAGCTTTTTGCGTGTGACAAAATGCTAGCTTAGTGTGGACGGAAAAGCCCAAACAGAGAGAAATAGAAGCATTTTCAGATTTAGCCATCTTAGTGTGGATGTGGTCTGACTAACAAATACAGTAACCTACATGTACAAGATTTAAAGAAAGTAGGTGTGCACAAACATAAATGAGCACAAAAACAAATCAAAAGAAAGAAACTATCACAGCGTCTCTTGGTGTTTTAGTAATTCACTGCAATTATCAGCTGCAAACACAAAAAACAGGCGATCGAAGTCATCAGCTTCATCTAGTCATGCAGCAGTACTATAAGAATTCATGGTCTCTCTAGCTGTGTTTCTAGTGTAGGGCTGAACAATTAATTACATTTGCGATATTATCACGATGTGATAAAACGAGATTTCTAATCGCAAAGGCTGTGATTACACTCTGGTCACGACACCCAAGAGTTAAGCAGTCTGCAGACGAAGAATCAACTTAGCACGTTACGCTGTACCTTGACTTGTTGTTGTACAACAGCCTTAAGCTTGACAGAAGCTGACACTACAGAAACTTCAGTGTCTCATAGGGAATGAAAGTAGCACCTAGGCGTCACTTGGTTTTAATTTTGTTGGCCAACTTTTGAATTGAACCTCAAACTGAGTATTTGAATTTGCCTACTGGGATACAGAAAGATGGACTCCTAGGAGATCTGAACTGAGATAAGGAAGCATTAATTGGTGGTTGAACTGTGTATTGAGCGCTTACTGTATAACACACTGTGAACTTAGTTTTTCTTGTGGTCTGTAGGTAGGCCGACCTGATGATATTATATCATATTATTTAATGCCATGACTTGACTCAAATTATCTTTCTCATATTAATAAAATTTGGCACTTCTTCACCATTGCTCAAAATAATAATTCATGCATTACCTAATTTCATCATAACACAGGCCTGGCCTACAAGAAAGAAGAGTGCATGTTTAGTCTATCTAATATTGTGTTGGTCATACTATACACTGATTTACTGCTTGTCTGTTTTGATCAAGAAGCTTAAAAATGAATCACATATTCAATCGCAATATTGGTTAAAAAAAAACAAAATCGTAATTAGATTATTTTCCAAAATTGTTCACCCCTAGTCTAGTGTGTGAACTTAGCGTTGTGCAGGCATTGTTTACCTCTCCACTGCTCTGTGATGCTGGGATAGGAGAGCAATCCAAATATGAGCAGCAAAGCCAGCAGGAACAGGATGAGACTTCGCTGGAGCCTAGACAGCTGCTTCCATTTCTGTAGGCCGGTAAACAAACAAAACCCGACTACACTGAAACATGTGTTACAGCTGAATTCAAATCAGTTTTTTTTAAGCAGATTCTCACACAATCTCTCAAAATGATCAAACATATCTGTTTATGCTTAAAAATAACAGTGAATAAAAGACAAGCCTGATTGCCTTCCTTGTCTGACTTACCCTGTATAAACTCAACATCTCTCTCCACCTGATGCGTTAAGCCCAGTGACCGATCACAATTAAACAATCCAACCTCCCTCTGCAAACCCAGCCGTGCAGAGGGAGAGACAGAGATGGAGTCTCTCTCTCTCTCTCTCTCTCTCTCTCGAGAAGACCTAACAGGCAGAGTGGTACCACTCTGTTACCTGCACTAATTAACACCTGTGCAACACCATGAAACTATTGAGCCATCATCTTTGAGCTTTGGCAGAACACACAACAGACTTCATCTCAGGAGACATTTCATTTGACTCTGCCATAGTTCATTCAACATAACGGCATCAGCATATTCTGTACAGTTAAATGGTACATTTTCATAAATGTTATGTATATTTCTTGTCTTTAATACTGGGCTTTGAATTACCAGAAGGCCCATGATTCAATATTATACCTTTTGAAAATGTGCATTGTGCTCAGAATTGCAGCAAGATAGAAAAGAAAAAACATTTTTATCTAGTAATCTTTCACAATGTTCATCTCAATTTAATCTTTAAAATGTATTTAATGTATTTTCTAAGCATGGAGGTTCAATCTTGACCCTGGGAACAAATGCCTGTGATAATATATTCTAAACTCATGGTTCATTTACTTGCTTTCTTCCAAAGCTTTCAACAGCGTCTCATCGCCTTCTTCAACATACAGAATTTGTTCAAGTGTTCTCTCCATAGACTGTGGTTCTCTCACAACCAAAGTATGTAACATCAGTGATGTGAAGACAGGTGGTCATAGGTCACATGATGACATCAAAGCAAAGTAAAAGTCCCCTTCCCTGAATAAGGCTGTGAAACAACATATCAGTATCTTATCAGTCTTTCCCCTCCATTGCAAAGTGGATATGTCAACAGCAATGTTCTTTTTTTTTTTTTTTTTTAAAAAGAGGTGGTATTATGCTCATTTTCAGGTTCCAAATCTTATTTAGGGGTTGTACCAGAACAGGTACAACACCATTTTTGTCATACTGCACATTGCTGCAGCTCCTCTTTTCACCCTGTGTGTTGAACGCTTTGTTTTAGCTATGGATTGAATCGTGCCTCTACACAATCTTTTTTGGGAGTTGCAGTTCGGTTCGTGAGAAGCCGGTAAACACGGCTTCGGTTCAGCTGTATACGTTCCACTTACCAACTTAGCAACATAGACTGGAGCAAGAGTGGTAAGTTAATTAATTTGTCAAAAATGTATCATTCATCCATAAAGTTTTAACTGAGCTCTGTCTCTACATCACAGTAACAGCTTTATGTCCATTGACTGCCTGGAGGGTAGCTAATGTTTGGAAGGGAGAGGAGAGGCAGCAGGTGGATGTCTTGTCACTGTGTGCTGCAGCTCAGTCTATTGTTCCACCGGTGTTTTGAGGGCGTGCCTGACTAGCCGCTAGGCGAGCATTAAGATGTGCATTCTTCTGTGACGTCACAGGGAACAAAAGGAAAAGGCTGGACAACAAGCTGTTTTCAGGCTGTTCAGAGCAGTGTTTTCTTTGGGAGATGGGAACTCCCTTCGGGGTGGACTTCACTTTGCAAACCTATTACATGCGCACACACACACACAAAAAAAGAGATATAACTCAATAAAGGAGCAAAGAAAAAACCTAAAAAGCATAATATGCCCTCTTTAAAGTACTGCACATTGAAGAAGAGAAAATTATTCATATTCTCTATCTGTACTGGGCTGGAGGCAGGAAACTCACTCAGCAGGTTGGCTGCTGAAACACAGACACTCACATTACATACCAATGAGCAGGACTTGTTGTCCAGCCTTTTCTTGTCATGGAGATGTTAAAGAAAACAAATTTGAACAAAGGTAAAGCACCAAGTCCTTCTCGCTGTGTGAGGAGCAAACACTGAGCCAACAAGCCACTCAAAGGAACATGATTTGCAGACAATGGTTTCTTCAAGAACCATAGAGCGTAATCAGAGCTGACGACCCACAGGTACAGGGGAGTTGCTGAGCCAGATCGACGCCTCTGCTATGAAGCTGGCTTTACTGAAGAAATGTCTGTTGATTTACTGCTGAAATAAAATGTTACAGATCAGATAAGGGTGGTGGTTAGCCTTTTCAATTCAGATATCAGAATAAATTACCCTTAAGACAAGCCGACCGTGCAGATGTTCTTTTCTGAAAAAAAGAAGTGACCCAAATAAATAATAACACAATTTAGTTATTTTGCTTAGGATCAGTCTATCTGCAGATTTCCTGAAAGCCAAATTAAAATATCTTTTGATACTACTGTTTTGTGTTTCAGGATTAAAAACAGATTCTAAAATTTGGGGGTGAAAAACTAAAATTGGACGGGTATGTGTTGAAAGATGGCCCAACTGTGTTTAAAATAAAGAAAATGTGTTGGGAAGGCCACATTATATTAAACTGAAGGGAACACACACTGGCACTGTATGATGCACACCAAAACACCTGCACCTATTGTCTAAGCACACATACCTGTGGTGTCATGATGCGTATCGCTGCAGATTGTTGTGTATCATGATACACAACTGTCCTATTTCTCAGCATCACATTTCAAATGTTCAGAAAAGCAGCAGTTTTATTGCATTTGCTCCCAAGAACGACCCTGTCCTGCCTACTGTTCTCTGACGAATACTTCTGTCTGAATGGTGGGTACAGTGTGTACTCCGGGTGACATGGATCAAATTCAAGACGTTCAATGACTCGGCTTGTGTACGTTGCACTCGACAGTAACAGCTGAGATGCAGAGCAAAGAAAACTCTCATTGCTTGGTTAAAAAGCACTTCTAATCCTTGAACTTGAGGCAGTTTCATTATGAACGAGGTAGTAAGACCATTTGTACAAGGATAAAAGTCGAAACAAAGCAGCAAACCCCCCGTGAGCAAGGAATAACAAAGAAAAGTATGAGATGTGAAATAATCAGTGTAACACAATATACCTGTAAAACCTGAGTATCAAAGCCAACAAAGAAGATGAGTGGGGCTCAGAAGCCTTAAGGAGGAGTGAGAGGCGTAAGAAGTTTGAAAGTAAAGGAAACAAGATTAAAGAAAATGTGCGGGAACATGGAAGAGAGTTGGTGAGATGAGCAGAATTTGTTTTATCTCACTGTAGTGATGAGACACATAATGTGCTCAGGATGCTTTTATCTGAAGAGTTTAAAAGGTCAGGCTGCTCCACAACAAGGTAGGCTGAAGGAAGGAAGGCTGAAACCTAGGAATCGATCTGTCACAAAAAAAAACTTACCATTTCATAAAGACAGATCTGTGTCAGTTTTCAGAAACATAACCAAGCAGTTGGATTCTTAGAGCTAAAGACTCTTTGTAGAGCCCACAATCAGCTAGGGGCAGGCTATGTGACAATATATACAGTCAACACCATATACTCTCTTTAATATCTCCGGCTGTATTATATTACGTTTTTATGGCTAAAGCTGCCAATCAATGAGCAGGACTGCATTATAGAAATGTTTGATTTGCACGATAGCTACATCAATATGAGGTCCCTGCCTATTAATTTCTAAAAACAAAATTAAAACATAGATATCCGATTCATGTTTTCTTGTCAATAGGCAGCTTTTAAAATTTTCAGGGGAAAAAGCAACAACGTCCTAGTAAAGTGTTGCCATCCTGAGTCTCCAGAACAGCTTCTTTGCTCCATTCTTATTTCATTCATTCATTCTCCAAGTCTCTAAACTCTACTGCAGTGATGAACTATCTAGACCAGGGGTGACAAACTCATTTTCACCAACACATAAGCATTACGGTTACCCTCAAAAGGGCCAGTTGCAACTGTAAGACTGTATAAACGTACAGTTTATCAGATGTAAAAAATATAGCCTTAGTAAAAAAATGTCTGTTATTATAACATAAATAAATGAATTACTCCATCAATCAAAGACAAATATCAAACATAAGCTTTTACAGTAACTTCTCACTTTTTCACAGTCCAGAGGGGCAGAACCATGGGAAAACAAATAATTGTGAGCTGCTAATAACATGAGGGACAGATGTGGCATTTGATAAAACAAATAGCCCGGCTGCACACAGCCTTGCAGAGGGCATACATCCAACTGATGAGAAATAGTTGGAAAATGCAGATGTATAGGCTACTGTAGCATAAGCCTAGTTCACACTACACGATAACACAAAAGACACAGGTCTAGCCAACCGGGTTTTCTCCTTAAAGCACAAACATGTATTCACTTTCCCACCATTCATGAAATTGCTTTCCTTCTGCATCAATTTTTTCGTCTTAGACATTTAGGGATTGTTTGTATACATTTCTCTATTATTATTATTTCTCATTTCCACTTGTCGGAAAACTACCGTAGTGGGTGTGTAAACATCACGATCTAGTGGCGAGATTCCGTCACTTCTCGGGTCACAAAATCGACATGAATTGTGGGAGATGTAGTTTAAGGCAGCATAGACTTTTATTTTAGGACAATCATGAATCTTTAAAGCTTTCGCGAGCCACATAGAATAACTTGGCAGGTCGTATTCGGCCCGCGGGCCTTGTGTTTGACACACATCTAGAGTCATGATGTACATACTGCTCTACAGGACCACTCACTCTCCAGCAGGACTGTCTCCGGTGTTTGCCGTTGTTGTACGTGTGACTGTGTGCATCACTGAGTGTCAGAGAGATGAAGTCCATTTTGGAAGGCGGATACATCCTCTGATCGGGGCAGGCAGTTGTATGTCATAGAATCTGCATGCAGAAAAGTAAAAAAAATTAAAATACAGCCTAACCATGACTTTTTTCTTTAAATAAGAGTAATGTGAAACGTAAAATGTGAAGAGCAGGGACCATCCCAGCATTGTCTGAGAGGACATGGTTGAATAAAAGGCTCGACCAACAAATGAACTAATGACTATCTTTATTTGCTATTTGTGTCTGCTTTATAACATTGCAAATGTAAAACCTTTGCAGTTTTGGAAGCAGTGGTTAGTAGAACACTACAATATAGTTATCCTGACTAATATGAAGGTTTAAGGTTGTGAAGGTTTGTAGTCCATGCATGATGCTAAGGTGCATTTACCACCAAGACTCAGTGACCATTTTTTTCCTACGTGATAAAGAGGTGTCAGGGTACCTAGAGTAAAAACAGGCTATATTCAGCTGAAAAGTGGAAGTTTATAGGATGTCTTTGAAAACGAGATTACGGTTATTTCCCCAACATTTCACTGGCATAGATTTACGTGGGTATGTTTTTATAATGAACGGAACAGACCAATTTAATTAAACTTGTCACAAGATGAAGAAGATTTTTCATCCCAATGTGCTGGCTATCACTTTTTGTTCTTTAAAAGACAATACAACAGCTGCAGTGTTAATGAATTGTTAAAGTTTTCCAGAGAGGACTCTCCAAATTGTCACTGCTTGGTTTGAGGTCTTATTTGAGCTGTGAGAGCAACACTTGCCTAGCAACTAGCAGCAGCTGCCTTGATTAAGTACACCAACCTAAACTTTCTAAACTTAATTTAACATGTATTAACGTTAATTAAAACGCAGCAAGGCTGACTCAGCACCATGGACAGCTAACGAGGACACGAAGCTCTTAAGGTGCATCTGCACTTGCTCTGGAGTGACCTTTTAGGAAACCGGCGTAAAAACGTCGAGCAGTTAGTAAACACTCTTAACTTCTTGTATCGATTGATATCAGGAAACAGGGCTGAATTCAACTCAAATGATGTGATGTGAAAATGAAAATGATGCTCCGTGATATGGTCACGTAACGTAAATCTTTGTAAGAAAGCTATCACAGATTAACGTTACATAGCTTCAAAGCAAAGCTACGGTGAATATTATTGTGACAAGGCACAGGCTGCTCTATCCTATAACAATTATCGTCTTAGTATAACGTTAGTTGAAAGAATGCACTCAAGTAACCGAAGTTACTGTAACGCAAACAGCTGTCGTTTACTACATTAACGTTAGTCAATTAACTTACAGCAAGGAGCTAACGTTATTTAAGCTAAACAGGCTCGTTTATTACCTTACCCTGCCTTCCACACATCACTGGCATGCTGCTTGAACACACCGGCAAATCACTAAAATATTAGACACACATTCCGCTGCCTCCCCCTCACCTTTGTGCCTGGTTGGCTGTCTCACAGCGACGTTTTTCTCCTGAAGGCTAATGTTAATGTCAACAGCTGTTAGCTAGCTAGGAGACGCCAGCTTCCTTCGTCTCTTGTTTCTGACTAGAAAGTGGCCCTGCTCGGCTGTCAGGAGAGCCAACATGTAACACGGCAGCCTGTACGACGGTAACAGAAAACTAACCTCCTGCTATAGGAAATGTCAAACAAATTATACTGGGGAAAACATGGCTGAAGTTAGCGAATGAACAACCACAGCCAGATCCGGAAGAGCTGACGAGGGATGGTACGGCGTATCACCTGACGTGTGCACGTGCTCTGAAGTTTGAACATTAACCCTTAAAATCCCCTCAACACCTTGTTCCCAGCTAACATGTTCACATAACACAAAAAACTAAAAAGATATTGGCATAACTTTTTTGGTATTTTGCAGGTAACTTTAATTTTATTGGAGCTGTTTTTAATTCTTCTAAAAAAAACATCCTTTAAAGACCTGCATAATTTAAACCCCTGTAAATGTTCTTTTGGAATTGGAAAGTAATGTACACTGAACAAAATTATAAAAGGAACACTTTTTTGCCTCCATTCATCATGAGCTGAACTCAAAGGGCCTATTTCTTATTATATTGTATTAATATTGTTCACAAATTCATCAAAATCTGTGTTAGTGAGCACTTCTTTGCCGAGATAATCCATCCACCTCACAGGTGTGGCATATCAAGATGCTGATCAGACAGCATGGGTATAGCACAGGTGTGCCTTAGGCTGGCCACAATAAAAGGCAACTTGAAAATGTGCAGTTCCATCACACAGCACAATGCCACAGATGTCACAAGTTTTCAGGGAGCGTGCAGTTGGCACGCTGACTGCAGGAATGTCCACCAGAGCTGTTGCCCGTGAATTGAATGTTCATAAGCCGTCTCCAAAGGCGTTCCAGAGAATTTGGAAGTACATCCAACCGGCCTCACAACCGCAGACCACATAACACCAGCCCAGGATCTCCACATCCAGCATCTTCACCTCCAAGATCATCTGAGTCCAGCCACCCGGACAGCTGCTGCAACAACCGTTTTGCATAACCAAAGAATTTCTGCACAAACTGTCAGGAACCGTCTCAGGGAAGCTCATCTGCATGCTCGCCGTCCTCATTGGGGTCTCGACCTGACTGCAACTTCGCACAGCCATTGAAGAGGAGTGGACCAACATTCCAAAGGCCACAATCAACAACATGATCAATATGCGAAGGAGATGTGTTGCACTGCGTGAGGCAAAGGGTGGTCACACCAGATACTGACTGGTCCACCCCCCACCCCCCGCCCGCCCCCGCCCCGCCCCCGCCCATACAGTGAAACTGCACATTTTCGAGTGGCCTTTTATTGTGACCAGCCTAAGGCACACCTGTGCAATCCCCGTGCTGTCTGATCAGCATCATGACATCTGTGAGGTGGATGGATTATGTCGGCAAAAGGAGAAGTGCTCACTAACACAGATTTTGACAGATTTGTGAACAAAATTTGAGAGAAATAGGCCTTTTGTGTACATAGAGAAAGTCTTAGATCTTTGAGTTCAGCTCATGATGAATGGGGGCAAAAACAAAAGTGTTGCGTTTATAATTTTGTTATAGCCTAGCTGAACTGTATTCTTGCGCTTTAAACACATTTTAAAATGTATGTTCAACTCTACGTTACACTAGCAATTAACTGGAATTGAAAAGGAAGCACTTGAACATTGTCTACATACTTACATAATTTATTCCAGGTACCTTTAGATAAATTTAGTATCTGTTCCTTTCCTGAAAATTATAGGAAACGATGTCACCATAAAAATTACCCCCCCACCAAAAAAACCTCACTATATAACAAAATGCAAAGGGATTTCAAATTCACCACATTATATTATTTAACTAACATGATTGAAAGGCAAAATAATAAAGAATTACATTAACTGTTACTTAGCCTACATTAAAACAGTAGCTTCCCCAACATTTGCACCTTTTGCTACAACTTAACTACATTACTACTGCTGCAACATCAGCTGCTTTTACTGCGACTATTACTTCTACTGTAGTTAATGCTACTGCTAACACTGCTCCTACTGTAACTATTTTGCTGTCAAGGCTACTGGCACTGCTATTACAAACTGTAGCCTACTGCTGTTACTGCTGCTGCTGATTCAGTATTAGAAGGTATGTATACATAATCGACGAGTATTGTGCCGTTGTACTGGCTGTGCCAGTGGGTGCTGTTCTGATCTTCCCACCTTCCTTTTATAGTACCTGGCCTTGTGGCAAAAGTATAGTCGATGGGGCAGTTGGAGCACAGGATGTAGTCTGGGTCTGTGAGAGAGCAAGCACACTGGATTGAAGAGAGGCACAGTGATGAGAACTGTTGAACAGGAGAGGGAAGGGGGTTGGAGGAGAAACAAATGTAGATAAGGGTGTTGCGCCAGCATCAAGTCAAAATTTACTTTTGTCTAATAATTTGATTTGTGACCAAATAATTGCAAAACTAATGATAAAATACACTGAGTCAACAATTAGTTATGTTTTTTTTAATTCAGCTGACACATTGAATGAGCTGATGGAGGGATCACACAAGACAGATGTCCAGCATTTCATATTTTTTTTAAATGATAATTTTACAAAACAAGTAAAGAAACAATGATCAGTCTCAGCCAGCTAAGGCAATCATATAGAATGATGCTATAACAAACCTAAATACACAATAGAACACTGAATATTGAACACCAGGCCAGAATTGCAAATCAGTGGATGCTTACACTTTAATCCAATTCTAGTTGAGATAAAGATTAAATACACTTCTTCCCTGTTGTATAGCAGTGGCCCTTGGTTCTCCACAGCTGAGAATTTGGTATAAGCAAGAAAATTAAGTTTTTGGTGTTTTCCAGCTGCAGAGCTGCTGTTTTGGCTGAGCTGGTAGACTACACTCTCACCACAACCTCCCCGAGATCTCATTCCAGTGATTCCTCTACTCCCTGCACGATCACTCACTACTGACCGCCTCCGGGACAAACACCAAATCCCGATTCTGCTGAGAAGCTACAAGGCTTGCTTCTTTCCTCTGGACCCAAGCACCTCAGATTAAATGAAGCAGAAATTCAGGCCGACAGCAATTACTCCATGCTAAGTGGGTGGTAATAGGTACTCTTCTTTTTCACCAGGAAGCTTTGCAGGATACTGCAGGGCAATGCTCTTGCACTTATGCATGAACTTTACAGTACAGTGAAAGAAATTACAGTATTGTTTTGGAAGGAAATAGGTGGATCTGTAAACTCTGGCTGCTTAACTTCAGTCTTTAGTTTACACGAGAATAACAAAAAAAAAAGAGAGAATCTCTTAAACACAGTTTCTATTGTTAAAACAGTAAATAATCTAATGTAAACCTGCTGGACTGCTGTGTAGGAGAATGAACTCTAATGAAAATGTGGTAAACTCTCAAACACTGTCAGGACAAAATTAATTAAAGCAACAGCTAGGTTTTTATCACAGACCATGGAAATTGTATCTTGATAATCAGACTGTATTTATTTACCAGTTTGTGATAGCAGATTGTAGTTTGGAAGGCAAGGAATACTTCCCCAATATTTTTCCCAGTCTCAAATTAGATGTGTTGATTAGTCTTTTAATGCAATTCTAACAAATTGTTAAATTTAATTTGTCTTTCCCATGATTTGACGCCATTTGTGACTGGTTGTTGCTGCCTGTGGCTATTTCAAAAATATGCTGCTTAATGTATTGTTTTTTTAAAGCCTAATGATGATGAAAGATCTATGACTGAAACTTCTTTAACATTTTTTGATGACAGTGTGCAGGAGTTCACCATTTTAAAGGATAAGGCTGGCATTATTATATTGTGAGCAAAACCAACAATGCTTTAGCCCGACTCTTAACACTTTCCCGTTTCTATAACTGTCTGTGGCACTCATTCCCAATCCCATCACTTCCTTCTGAAAATGTAAATCTTTAAAAACAGCTCATAATACATAACTTTTTTTTTTTAAAGGCTCAGTAATTTCCCAAAACAGCTGGCCACTGTCGTTTTTAGCAAACATTCCTCAAACAGGAGTAAATAAAGCATTTGTTGTGGACTATTTTCAGATGCAGATTAATACGTTTAGAGTTTTTCCGGCAGCATTTCCGGTTTATGTAGGTCAAAATAAACTACACCATTTGTGTTCATGATAATGAGTTCACCTAGGTGGCTTTGAGATGGAGCTCTATGGCACAGAGGAATACAATATATCAGGCTTTGGCTACACAGACTAAACTTTTTCAGTGTTGGTTTTGGTCTTTCATTTCTAACATTTCTTTAAGTTTGAATGCGATACTCCAGACTGATCAGCATACTGTGACAACAGCTGCTTCAGCGCCCATGTGTACATCATTAATGTATCATACCTGAGACGTAAGAAAAAACCCAACATAGATTATATGAAACTGCAAAAATAATAAACAATGTTTTGTTTGATCTTGCTGTTGGCAAAAGACAGCATCAAGTATGCATAAAACAGGATGACTGCCCCCCTCTATTGTTTTTGGGATTAGATAAATGCTGGTCTTACAAATAAAATGTGATCGGCACCATGAGAAAAGTGACACATCTGAGTTGACTTACAGTACAAAAGTAGTGGACTTACAGTGAGAGAGTTTACTGGCCTGGTCACACACAGCCAATGGGACAACATTAGCTGTGTCCCCATGCAGAACACATTGTTAATTGTTCAGTTAGGACAGTCCGACTTTTATATACCCAACGGCCAGGCTATGACAGAAGCCCACAATACAAAACAAAAATCAAACAGAGTTATAAAGGATAAAAAAACATATATTTTTAAATTATTCAATACAAGATAAACGTCTCTGTAAACAAAATTGACTTCTCCGTGAAAAAAGCCTGGGGACACTTCTGTCCTCATAAATTCATTAAAACGGTCACTCAGCTTGAGAGATCAAATCCCCCAAAACAAGAGGAAAGGGAAGTGACATCTTTAGAAATTGGGAGAGATGTTCAAGTTGTCCTCTTGACGTCCATGATTTGAAGAGAGGTTTGTATCCTGGGCCTGTGAGGCTTCTGGGACGGCACAGCTTTCTAGCATTTCCTAGCTGAAACACACGGGTCCGACAGTGAAGCCAAACTGGTGTGTGAAGTTTCCACCTCCCATCAGTGCTACGTCTCTCAGAGGAAGCAGCTGGAGGTCTTCAAACTCAAACACAGACTCCCGAGGTCCAGAAATGGTCTCCTCTCCAGGCTGACACAAGAAATAGAATACATTTTTTAGTTTTTACATTTAATTGCTATGACTCACCTTTTTTCATATGCAATGACTGAAACTGAAAATTATGTATTTCATTCCTCTTTTTTTCCTCTATTTTTTGGATGCTTTTTTCCTAATAATAAATAATTGTTATAAAATGAACCTGCTTCAACAAGATTTTACACAGCAGCAGCATGACAGGTACTTTCTCAAGCCTTTCAGAACACAGCGAAAAAGAAGTTTACAAAACTTTATACACACCACACAATCTTTAAGAGCTCCGAGGTAACTTTGCTTCCTTGTATCAGTGAGGAATTTGATGTCTCTGTCTGTCTGACCCAGTCTGTGTCCTGGGTGGCAGGAGTAGGTCACCTTCTGGGTGGCGGTGGTACTATGCAATCTCAGAAAACGCATCTGGACCACGTTAGCACCTGGATAGTAAAACTGATAGGAAAGGAATAAGAACGTGATGTATTTACAATGTCAGCTGGTACATAGTTACGCAACAACAATAACATTATTTAAGTCATTAAGTCATGAATCAAATCATCAGTGGTGTGACAGATAACCAGTGTTAGGGTAGTTACTCAAAAAACGTAATGGATACACATTACTAGTTACGTTTGTTTTTTTAAGTAATGCCTTACTTTACTAGATTACTCACTGCTGAAAGTAACTAGCTACACTACTAGTTACATTATTTTTGGATTACTCAGATTAGTCAGTAATTGTTCCCTCTGGTTGGATGAAGTCTGACGCTCTGCATGATCCATGATGATAGAGATTAATGTCAATAAAGCATACTGTCAATATTTTAGAGACCCCCTAAAATATCACAAATCATGCTTTTAGGTGAGCTGTTGTCTTATTAAGTGCAGCTAAGCTCCCCCTGGCTCCCCTGTAGTTCACACCCTGGGCAAGAGTCTCAAATTGTTTGTCAGACAATCTGTTCCTCCTCTGAGTCAGCACAAGACTGCCCAGGCTATAGAGCCTCACCACAGGTGCACCAGAGGGTATCGCTGTCCTTTCACGAAACAATATGAAGCAATACCTCCACCCCACGAAAGACGTCTTTGGCAGCTCTGCCATTTCTGTGTCCTCATGAACTGGCGCTGAACTCAAAAGTTGGGTCCGAAAAGTATTACGCAAACACGCATGAAAAGGGACGTTTGATTTATTTTTCTCTCCTCCCCTTATGGGGATAGTTCAACAACCAGTTTGCAAGTAACACGATGATTTTGTTATTAGTAACAATGCGTTACATTACTGCGTTACAGAGAAAAGTAATCTGATTACAGTAATGCATTACTTTGTAACGCGTTAACCCCAACACTGCATATAACAATATTAGAAAAATAACTGTATCTTCCTTCTTCTCTGAAGTATCTCCGGTTTTGTTTGTAAGTTGTAATGTGATTTGCTTGCTATTTAGCCTGTTTACCTCATTGTTTTGGCTTTACGGCACATTTACAGTCTTGATGTTAGTGATGAGATATTAGAATTGGTGTTTTTCATACTTGTGGATTTCTGCTGCCCCCAGGGGCGTTTCCAGGCTCTTAAAACATTGGGGGCTTAGCCCAGCCCAGAAATCTTTCATGTTTTCACATTTTTATATACAGTCTATGGTTTTCACTTGTTTTCATCCCCACCCCCTGTTGCCGCCCAAAGTACGTCTGTAAAGCAACAGTAAATGACCTCTACACAGTAACCCAAACATCTGTCCCATTTTCTGATAATAATAATAATAATCAACTAGAGGGGGTCTGGGGGGTCCTCCCCCTGAAACATTTGGGCTTTAAACACTTAATTTCCTGCATTCCATGAATTTTTTGCAACAATTTATTGAGGAAATGTCTGAGGTGACAAATCAAAATAAAATAATTTAGTGTACTATAATGCAGTAGAGTGATCATACATGCAGGCAAGCTATTTTTCAGTGGCCACGGCTCTCCTTTATTCCTTCAAGTGCCTGCTCTATGCAGGGTAGGCTATGCAGCTGACGATGAAGCTACTGCAGCTCCAGTGCCAAACAAATCAGTTATTTTCACGTATTTGGTGATTTGTTTGGCCCACAAGAAACAGCTCGAGCAAAGGGGGAGGGAGTGGGCCGATCGTTGGCCCATTTTTTAAAATCAGTTAGTCCTACATACTGTATATGCCAGATTATCAGTCCACCCCTGAGGCTACCCCCCTTTAGACTGTCTGACAGACACAGAGCCCGTCTGGGACTGTAGCCTATGAGACGAGTGCACTGATCTTCATCAGAGGAAGAAAAACGAAACTGAAAACACTTGTGATCAGACAGAAATATCAGCATAATTCTACACAAATGTTCACTTCAGCAACTCTGATAAAGTGCAGCTCACAGCCGTTTTAGAGGGAATGAAGCATCCTGGAGACAGTAAAACAGTAGTGTCTCACAGCGAGTGGGACAGAGACAGCAGGACACAGAGCGACAGGTGTCAGTGTCGCGGTCAGGTGTGATATTCTCTCATTACTGTGCGCCGACTGTTAACTGTTTGCGTTGAATGAATGGTTTTTTTTCGGTTTACAAAATACAGAAAAAACTAACAATTTGTGTGAATATGCAATTTACAAGAATCTTATATGTGCTTACACCAATCCATTCACACAAAATTACTTGCAACATTGAAGCCCAAGGCTTATATTTGCCTGTGTGTTAACATATTGAACAGACACTGACCGACAACATTTATGTTTGATTACAATTTTGCAATTCAGAAGTCGCGGACAAGCACTGAAGCTGAAGCTGTGAGCAATGCGCGCTCTCTCTCTCTCTCGTGCTCTCTCTAAATGCAGTTTCAGTAACGGTGGTGGAGTGGTCACATCAAACAAAATGTATCAATTATTGCGAGTAGCCTCCGCTCTTTGAAGACCTTAGAGAGAGGCTGCGTCACGAAGAGTATTGCATATTAGCATGGAAATATTTTGTTGCTGTTGTTGGGGGGGGCTACAGTCAAAACATCAAAAATTGGCTGCCCCCAAGTGTCCAATAACATCAAGGAATGCAGTTTAAATGCATCTGCGAATATGCGATTTGAAATAACATCCAAATTAGGGGAAATGTTTTCTTTTGGTTGTTTCCCTCAGACGGATTCACTCACCTGAAACCCCTGTTCCAACCTGCTGAGCCACTGAAAAGATCCTTCTTCAGAAAAGCCTTCCATCCAGGCTTTCATGGGCAGCTGCAGGCACAGAAAAGAAGGCACACATTTGCACATCTGGATGCAAGTCTTGCTTTCATGTATGAGACCTGTGAAGGTCAATGATGTTCAGACAGCTGCTGATAAACTCTGGATTAGCATGCAGCTCAAGCATGAAGCAGAAGTAAATTGGCTACTTTAGTGATAGATGCATCCATCTCACGCTACCTGAGACCAATTCATTTTATTCTTTGGTTGAGTGAATCAATTCTTTATGTACTATTGACTCTATTAGAGTGATTATGATGATTATGATTATGATTAACAAATTATGATTTTGGCCATGGTTTGGAGGCTCTGCACGGCCGCAGCTGGATATACTTGTATACTTCGGTGATTTAGGCTAGAGGCTGAGATAGATGTTGTGTAGATGTTTTGGGCGCGGTATATTTATGGCAATTTTGTAGAGTCCTGAAAACTTGTGTTTGTGCGTGTGTATGGCAGACAGTGAATCTCAGCATAGATTTAATAACTGATCCTGTAGGAATGATGTCCAAACTACCGAAATAAGATTTTCCTTCAAGAGGACTGTGTCACAAGTTCAAGTCATCACTGCAGAAGCGTGTGCTGACTGACAATTTATCAAATTGAGATTGCGGTCGTGCAACACGACGACATGAAATTAGGTGCAATTTCCCGGCAGCTTTTCCCGGGTGATGTCTTTATACCTGAGAGTCTCGAGGATGAATGCAGGTCTGTTTTGATGCGGAGGAGAAGCTGCAATAGGCCAGCAGAGTGTCGGCTGGGCTCCCCTGGTTGGGGTCGATGTAATACATTCCTGCAGGGGAAGGTTACCAAGAGGTCAATGAGATCTGCAGGGATGAAAGTGTTGTGCCCCACACTGACAGAAAGACCTGAGAAAAACCTGAATCACAACTACTCCTACATAGACTATTGGCTAAATGTTAAAGCGTAAAGAATTGCAGTAGACATTTTTCTTTTCTGTTTCTAGTAAATGTATTATTAGTCCTGCTTTAACTAGCAACTGCTGGTGCACCGGTGGGCACAGAGAATATGGACCCTTCACTTATATGATATTCAATAAGAATTTAAAGTGTTAGGAGTCAATTATGCATTATGTATCTATATATAGGCACACCATAAAATCTGTATTGAGGTAAATTACTTGTTTTTGGGTGTTACCATTTTAATTTTACCTTATAACAAAAAGCATTTCTCCATGTGAGCTGTTCTGATCTCTGACGTAATAAATGAATCTGGCAACTTTTGGAATTTTAGCTTTCAAAAACACACATGTAACAGAAAGGACAGTATCTAGAACTTCAGCTATTTCAGTGTGTATTTACTGTCATGACACTGTTTCGGGAACTGACCGCTGCTGTACTCAGGGTGACAGAGCCAGAGCTCCAGACAGGTGGTGGCAGGATGCTCCTTACTGCCATCAGGAGGATCCACCAGCAGCCGAAGCTCGTGCTGCAGAGAATCTAGCAGAGTCTGGATCAGAGGGTAGTTGGGCTTATCGGACACATACATCAGGTCCTGCACAGGGGAATAGAGCAACAAAATTGAGGGAGAATGCACTTTGAGTGTATGTTGACTTGTACTTTCAGATGCTCTTATGATAAATGCTTTTGTAATTGTAAATAGGGTTGCCCCCTTCAATACAGAAAAATGAAGGACGCCTGCCGCAGTGGGGGCCACACCCCTCGGGGGCCCGGCAACGACAGGCCCGATGGTGTGCCAGTGGTGGCATATCATAACTTAAAACATGTTTTCAGGAAAGTATTAAGATTGATACCAGTGGACTTTGTAATAAGCTATTTGCTATTGAAATCAGTGTGAACAGATAAACGCTGTCTCTCTACATCACAACTCAACAGACTAGTGGTCTTATTGTCATAGCTGAATACACAGCTACCACAATAATAAACATAGGCCAACAATGTGTGACAGTGAGACCAGAAAATATAGGCTTTTGGAGGAACTTGTGAGATATGAACTGTGTTTCATTAATTTATTAAATCAATGTCATGTCCATAACTTATGAACTATAAATAGGCTAAAACAAATGACTTGATATGAATTGGAAAGACTTTTGCAAAGGATTTTCCATAATCATGAACGGCAGTGGACCAGAAGTAGTAGTCTTCTTTTGATTGTCAGTAAATATATTTATGTATTTATTTTATTTTAAATCTATAGTATTGAAGAATGCAATTCTATAGATTGGTTATGAATAACAATTGTTTATATTCTTCACATTGGCACTATATTTTGATAATTAAATGTGTATTAAATAACCTTTATCGCTTATTAAATTAATGCTTATGTGTCTGACTGTATATCTCAACCTTAAAAAAACAAATCATACCATAATGTAGGCATGTGCTTAATTTAGATTGTAACAGTATTTCTTAACAGATAGGCAGCACATGAAATCCAGCGTAATCAATCAGAAAATTTGTAAATTTTATTAAGTCATTACACTGCCTCGGCATGCTGTCACACGTCTGACAGGCCACTGTGCACCACACGAAACACTGGCCGACAAATTGTGAAGTTTGGCTTGATACTCATCAAGTAGGCTATTTGATTTCTCCCACTTGTCGTTGGTAGACTACTTTTGCATCCGCTTTTGTTTCAGAGGGGACGCGGGCGTTTCTGGAGCTGCTGCTGCCGTTGTTTCAACTCGACTCCCTGCCAAGAGACCCATCCTTATCTGACTCTGATTGGCCCTGAACCCGACGGTATTAATCATACCAACAATGGCAGCGAGTATTACCCAGTACGGGGTAGAAAAGGACTAGTCTTCACAGAATGCGGGTGGGATGATTTGCATGTGATGCTGCATTAAAGACAACTCGGAAATACGGGACAATTCTGTATTTTAAGGGACGGGTGGCAACCCTAATTGTAACTCATGAGTCACATGCCTTGAGTTGAGTCAACGTCATGTTCAGTGACTGTCCTGAGGGTCCTGGAACCCCAGGTGGGCCCTAAAACACAAGGGAGATTGTGGTAACAAATTTTACAAAAATTACACAAATTGGGTAAACACTGCAGAGAGATCAATATTATCTAGATTTTGAAAAACCTTTGTAATTCATCACAAAGTGATGTAAGAAGTCTTAATATACAAACTATACACTAACAAATATAAAAATCTTAGATTGATGGAACTACTGAGTGATGAGTCACTGAAATAAAAAGTTTATTTCTTAAGCTGTTTCACATTTTGACAATTTTCTAAAATCAAATAATGTGGTGTTCAACAAGAAATTATAGATTAAAACAATAACTCAAGAGAGCCAAAGAACTCTATAATTTGGAATAACTTCCTCTGAATGCTAAGCTAATGTTAGCTAAAAGCTAGTCAAGTTATAAACTAAGCAAACTGTCAGACACACAAGAGTATGCACACTAGGCTAATCTCATATTTAGCTTAACTTATTTCTAGGCACTGTTAATGTAGCCATCTTTGTATAAATATATCCATTTTGGATGTACAGTACCTAGTGTATCTTAAGTGCTTTATAATAATATGAAGCACATTAACCAATCAAACCTTAATTCAGAGTTTGTTTCATCCTCTGTCTAACTATATTGTGAACTTACTGGGAGCCCCCTCCTGCCGGGCAGACCAGGTAAACCTTGGTAGCCTTTCAAACCCTGCAGCGAGAAGAAAATGGGATAAATAAAGACTGCTGCAAAGTCCCATTACATTCTAACGCCAACTCCAAAGTGTGACAGCTTTATGATTATATGTGCCATCAACATAAACCAGAGTGATCTCAACATAAGAAATCCTCCAGGGCGTTTGCTTCAGACAACAGTGAGTGAGTGCCGAAGTGAGTTTGATCTTTCAGGACAAGAGTGCTTGAGTTGATGAGATCATACCTTTAATCCAAACAAACCCTGCAACAGAGGAGAGAACAGGAAAAGAAAAGGGCATTAGTATGGTTTTCCACTGCGAAGGGGATTTATCAACAAAGAGCTTTGGAGTGCTTTTATGTGCATTAAGAAGCCATCAGCCACAGCTTTGCAGATTTTATTACGTAAGTCAATGGATTTTTCTCCCCCCCAAGACACAGTGGGTTGAACACAATCATTATGTGCTGCTGAACTGTGAATTATTCAACAGACTGGCAGCTGAAGAAAAGATTAGTTACTTGACAGATAGCAGTCTGCACTTTATAGGAGTTTTTATAAAACAATAACATTTCCATCACACGTTCCACTTCCTGTGCTGTCTACATTTTTCAGACACAAGATGAAGTGACAGATGAAGTGCTTCAATTCAAAATATATCCCAGTCAAACACCATCTTTCCATATAAGAAAGCCAACGTAAAAGCCAAACTGAAAAACAAGACACCAGTTATAAATACAATGAAAGAGAAATATAATAGCAAGTACATGAAACTTACAGGCAGTCCTGGCATCCCCGGTGTACCCCTCGGTCCTGGTGGACCAATATTTCCCTAACAAAATTAAAAAAGAGAGAGAGAGAAACGTACACATTTGCCAAACCTCAATATCATAAAAAAATATTCAAATGTAGTAAAAAGTCTAGTTCAAAACACAAAACTGAAAATAAGATGACAAACTACGATATTCCCTGTACCTGCTCTCCCTTCGGGCCCAGTGGACCTGGCAACCCAACAGGACCACGAATACCCTGAAAATATAAAAAAAATTAAAGATATTTTAAAAAGGAGAATGACACAATGTTTCCAGAGACTGACTCACAAGAAAACACAACAAATATCCATAAGAGACAAATTGGATTTTTCAAAACTTTTAGCATGACTTACCAAAATCACAAGAAATGAAAAAAGGACTATCAGGGCAAGCACTCCTCTGTCAGAGCGACTCATGATGTCACTCTCTTGGCGTTTTGTGTGTTTGTCTGTGTGTTGTGTTGTTTTCTACATGCTAGGCCACAAAATGTTGTGGGTAAAGGCCAGAATTTGACAATGGAAGTAAAAGGGAAGGTTGTGGAGCACTGGGTGGGTGTCTTTAGAAACTTTTTCAAAAGAGGCCTAATACAGTGACTTTGCCTGTATTTGCTGAGGAAACTATAGACTTTGAACATTAGCAAAGCTGTCAAGAAATAACTGCCTGAGTCAGACCTTCACCATTACTTCCTGGCATAACCTTCTCTCTGTTTAAAACAAATCAACACATTCTTGGCTCATCAGTCATGCAAGTAAAATAGCAGGGACCAGCCAGTTCTCCCCATCAGATCTCTATAGCCAGCAAGACTGATGCAAAAACAACTCTCATCACACAGGACCCTTCTCACTCCCACTTAAAACTCATTCCATCTCACCCCATTAGCTTACTGTTGTAAAAACCCTCTGGCCAAAAAAATCCATTAATCAGGAATGTGATTGGCAAAGGACAAAAAAGCAGGAAAATATACTGAACCCCCCCACACACCACGATCAAACTGGCAGCTGCTCTAGAACAGCATATGGATACAGGATCTGTGACAATAACTTCAAAGACAAGTTTCTAATCCACTGTGCCATCGCAACCTCTCTATTAAAAAAATATTATTAATAATTGATGTTATTATAATTAATAATTACAATAACATAATAATAATAATAATAATAATAATATAAATACTAACTTTCAAATTAGTTCAGTTGAAGTTAATAGATTATTTTTAATGAATAAGAGACAGCCGCAAAGGTCGTTGCCTGTTTAAGACCTGGTGGAAAAACAGTTATATTATTCAGGAAACTCAGATCAAACAGCCAGATCAGTCTCTGTCTATTGAAAAAATGTAAGAAAAAGTTCAAAACACTTCAACTCTGTCAGCGGGAGGGTGTGTGTGTGAGAACGACCGCAACAGTTTCACGGGATCGCGCCCAGTATTACACAGAAGTCGTTACCATGGTTTTTGGCTAACAGCTGACTTAAACAACATATGGTAACACATGCACATATTTGGACTCATATTGAACGATTCTCTATTAAGAGTCCCAGGAAGCCTCTCCACTGAGCCATGCAGTGCAAGGCCAAACCCTGATTCTGGCTCACCTTAATGTAATACAGCCATCATTAATGTTATTAATTACACCTGCTGCTTTGACATGTCAAAAGGTCTGCTGTGAAACAGGTCTATTGGTAGGACTGTGTTGCAGCCTTGAACAATATACATCAATGTTTATTAATGTGCATTGTCCCTGTTAAATGAACCAATAAATGAAAAAATTAAAAACATTAGACATTACAAGAAATACTCCTACCTTCATGCCATCAGCTCCAGCTGGTCCAGGCAATCCATGGTCTCCTTTCTCACCCTAAGGACACAAAAAATACAGATAAAACATTTTTATAACTAGATTTTTCTAATTGAACCAACATATATACATGGTATCTTTGAAGCTACGAATACTTTCAAAGGCTTAGTGCTTTAAAGGTTCAGTGTGTAAGTTTTAGAGGCATCTAGTGGTGAGGGTTGCGAATTACAACCAACTGCTCACTCATCGCTCACCCCCCCACTTCCGAGGGCAGAGGAGAAGCTACGGTCGCCGACACACTCTGTCTGCTAAATAATACATGTGGTCCTCCATTTGTCCAAATTTCTCTTTTCTTCTTACTTTTAAAAACCAGACGACAACAGCTACTACTACTTCTTCAACTTCTTTTTCTTCTTCGTACGTATTCATCGTAGTAAAGGAACACGCTCTGTAGAGCATCTTGTCTGTTTGGGCTACTGTAGAAACATGGTGGCGCAACATGGCGACGTCCATGTAAGAGGACCCGCGGTGTATGTAAACAGAAATTTTAAGGCAATAAAAACATAATAATAAAACATAACGCTTCATTATGTAAGGTCTTTATACACCACTGACAACATAGTTATGTATATTACATTACATTTCTGTCAATAGATCCTCCTAAATATTAAACACTGAACCTTTTATTAACAGCTATTAACAGTTTTTACTGAATCTAAGACAAACCCTGTTATTTGAACACAAATGAAACTAGCGTTGTTTTTGAACAAACAGAATCCAATGAGATCCAGTTGAGTTTGGACCTGCAAGTAAAGTTTGCACTGAATCTTTGTCAGGTTTATTAATTCTTGTTTACCTCTTTCCCCTTTTCACCTTGATCTCCCGGCTCTCCACGTAAGCCAGGGATTCCCTTGGTGACAAAAATTAAATACATTTATCAAATGTACATCAATGCACTGACTGATCAAATGTACTTTAATTGTGAAAGTCATTACTTTATTGATCTCTTCTCCAAATCACTGAACGAGACAGATTGCTGAATAGATCATTTCATAGCTGATGTATGCGGGTATGTTCAGCTAAGACATAAAAATAAATGAAAGCATGTTACGTGAACAAATTAATTGACTTACGATGAGCCCTGGCCACCCAGGGAGGCCGGCCAGTCCTGTGTCTCCCTTTTCACCCTGAACGACAAAACACAATCTAATATTTGCTCATTCATAATAATTAATCCAAATGTGCACAAAGCCTGTGGCCTTGTTTCTATATATCCCACCTTCGGCCCTCTGTCTCCCCTGGTTCCTCTGACTCCGGCTTTCCCCCGTTTCCCCTGCAGACAAGTTTACCATATTTTCAATGAGAAACAAAAAGCAAGAGTGGACACGTGTGAAACAACCCACAGCAATGTTTTATGTATAAATCTATTAATGTAGTGGCTGTCAGAATGGCCAACACTAACAACGGTAATGACCAAAAATTGGATTCTTGGACTCTTTCCTACATCTTAAATTATTTTGCAAGACCAAAACAGAAAGCTCTTACCCTCCTTCCAACATGGCCCATCTTCCCTGGTGATCCATTCATGCCATCATCTCCCTGTAGGTGCAAAAAAAAACCATACTGATCAGTGAAAAAGCAAATTAGTATCTTTTTCGACAACTTCCACTGGGAAAAGGAGACACAGGTGCAGTGTGATTTTTTGTGTTTTTTTTAAAAAAAGATCAGTCTGTGACCTAATAAGTAATTAACATTTTCTTCTCAAGGGAAAGGTGATCCCAATAAAGAGTAATTACATAAAACACAACATAAAATACTTTGGTTTCATTTCAAATGCATAAAATGAGGTGGGGACAGGATTTAAAGAGATAGTTAGATATAGAGACATTTTGGAAATATGTTTACTGGCTTGAAGAGCGTTATATAATAAGATCAATACCCCTCTCATGTCTGCAAGATAAATATGAAGGCTGGGCACAGGGGGAGACAGAGTCAGGCTTGCTGTTTCCTCCTGTTTCTACAGTAAATTAACTGGCTGCTAGCTGTAGCTTCATGTTTAATGGACAGATATGAGAGTGGTGAAGATCGTCTCATCGAACTAAGGCTAAAAGGTGAATAAGAGTATTTCCTAAAGGTGAATATGTGTATTTCATGAGCAATTTAGTGAAATTACTGTATGTCACAGTGAAGCAGAATTAACTCCAAAATGGATCAAATGTTGTTTTCTTTATTTAAATATGTACAATTTAAGATGTTTTGGAAAACTAGAATGAGTAAAAGATGTTACAAGAAGTTACAAGATGCATAAAGACAAAACATCACATTGGACTTTGAGGATCTTACCTTCTCCCCTTTCATTCCCTGTTTCCCTTCAGGTCCTGGTCTTCCTAGCACTCCCTGCAAAGCCATAATGATTTGTTTTATTATCATGCTGCTTTTAACTGCCATAAGTGGCAAAAACAAAACACATACACACAGAAACACACACGCGCACGCACACCATGAGTTTATGATTGTTTGCCCTTTTCCCCAATAATTAATCACTCCCAAACCAATGGTATAATTATAGACCAGCTGCTGCAAGCAAAACATAATGTCATCATCCACAGTGTTTCTGTGTTGTACACAACCACACACTTACAGGAGCCCCTGTGGGACCTGGGGGACCCTGGGGTCCCATCTCTCCAGGTGGCCCCTGAAAAAGAGAACGAAGAGGCACAATTAACAAAGTTAGAGTTGTTGAGGGTAAAAAAGCTATCTTTAGCAGAGGTAATTAACATCAGGTGATGTGTTGACGCTACTCAATAGCGGTTTCGTTCTCACCTCAAACCCTGGCAGAGCCGGAGGACCTCGGATACCTGGCAGACCATCCTCACCCTGCACGGGTAATTAATATTACTACGGTAGTTTAATGAATATTTGCACAAAGTAAACATGTGCTTGCATTAAAATGTATTTATCAAGAAGGTGTAGCACCATGTGCTTCATTTATGTTGGATTTCTAAATGCCATACAGTAGATACATATGACAAGTTAACCTCACTAACCTGTTCCCCTGACACACCCGAGGCTCCCGGCTCTCCCTTCAGTCCCGGTGGCCCTGGTTCCCCTTTATGTCCCAGGTCTCCCTGAGGTCCAACTTGTCCTACTAGGCCCTGCAATGCAGATATCACCAAAATGCAATAAAATTACCATGACAAGTTATTAAGTCATTTTTTTTGTTTTTAATTTGGGGCTTAAAATTAAATTTTACTTCAAGTTAATTAAATCAAAATTAGCCTTTAGGGTGAGATGCTGGGTGACTGAGTTCAACTGCTGCTAAAGTTATTTAAGTTTAATGTGCAAACATCTGCTAATGGCTTATACTTCCTAAGCGGTTATCTGTTTACGTGTTTATATAGCAACAATAGACAAAAATCATTTAGTTTCACCTGTGGTGGATTTTTACTTCACCTCTTGGTAATTCATTTTAATGAACACTAAACACAAAGTACAGCTGAGGCTGAGGGGAATTGGACAAATTGAAGATTTGACCTGAGGATGGAGATAGATGAAAAGTCATGGGACCACCAAAGTAATTATAATCCATCCTGAAGGGGGGCATGAATTTGTGTCATGCAATCCACCTAATAAATGCAAAGATATTTTTCCTATAAACCCAAAAATGTCAACCTCATGGTGGCATTACAGGAAAAGTCATAGGGTCACCAAAGTTTGTGTGTGCATATTTCATCGCAGTCCATCCAATTATTGGAATATTTCAGGCTGGACCAAAGTGGTGGACCATACAAACCGTCCCTACAAACATGCCGCTAACATGGGTAAAAACCATGTTAGATGAACCTGAAATAAAATTTCAGGTTCATCATCAGGGCTTCAGTTGTTAGCCAGCAGTCTGAACTCATCGTGCTCTTGTTATTCATTTGGCATAAGTGCACCACATACTATGATGACCATTAAAACTGAAATACCACTGACTAGATTTCTCTCTAAATCACTTAAAAATATAGTCCTTCCACGGCCACTTAATTTACTGATGTTTGCTGTAATAGCGCAAAGGGAAAATCATGTATTTAAAAATGTTGCCTCCATTAGCTGCTGGAAAAGTCACATACAGGATGAGGTTTACATTATGTGGACTGTGAGGTTAACTGCAATGTAACAGATGGAGAAGTTGTGCATACTTTGCATGGAAAACAAACCAAATAAAGTAAACAACTACTCAAGTAATACTCAAGGATACTTACAGGTGGTCCCAGCCCCCCCGTGTCTCCTCTGACACCACGTGCACCAGTTATTCCCTATGTATAAGACAAACAAAACAAATGGATGGCTTTCCTCATTTAGCTGCACTTTAGTCCATATTGTACAAAATGCTAAATGTAGTTAAGTTTACCCGAGGGCCTTCACTCCCTGGAGGCCCAGTAGTCCCTACAGGCCCAGAATCCCCCTGATGAGATGGATGAAAATATTTTAATGCCATTCTGACTTAACTGATGTGGTTCAAGCAGAGCACGGCAGGTGATATACTCTATCGGCGATGGTGTATTAGAAAGCGTATAGTATGTGCCTGTAGCGGCAGGAGTCCTCTCAATCAGGTGAGATAAGTTAACATATCACGGAAATGTTGCTGTTGATTTTCCTGTCGTCTGCTGTTGTTAAGCAAAAATATAATTGTAAAAATACGTGGTAGCAGTGGTTATGCACCCTGAGCCCAAACCAAACAAAGAATAACCGAAAACCAAATTCAACCAGGAACAACTTTTAAGTTTAAACCTGACAGTTTTAAATAAAAGGGGGTGTGAGGACGGGTCTGGCGGTTGCTCGGATGCCAACCATCTGCCTCTGTGCCCGCTGAAACCGGTGAGGGTTATGCGTTGGCGTAAAGTGGTGTCTTCGGTTTGTGCTATGTGTTTGTCGTAAGAGAAAGAGACGCCTTTCCAAGAACAAAGGAAGTTGCGTCACAATCTTGCTCGTTTTACAAGTGCTAATAGTAGTAGTAGTGCCGATAGTAGCGGTAAGTGGGAAAGAAAGGATCGGCCTTGTGGGATGATATGGATGGGGGAGTTTGGGTGTCCAATGAATAGAGAGAGATAGGTGCGGTTGGTGTCATGCGGGTGGGTTGCATGGAGCTTGGAATTCGGGACTGAGGATGAATGTAAATGCTCTGTATTTGTATAGCGCCTTTCTACGTCTTTGACCACTCAAAGTGCTTTTACACCACATCTGCATTCACCATTCACTCACATTCATTCACTGAGCCTAAGTGCTCAAACAGAAACAAACATTCACACATATTCATACACTGGCGGAACAACCGCGGCAGGTTCTGGTGTCGGCGCCCCCACATAAGGAATGTGAGGAAACGGCGACATGAACATTGCGATGTAATTTAACGTAACATTAAAGTTATGTGCCACCATCCTGCCGCCTTGGTATGGTATGGGCCTTGCCTTGGTTGACTTTCTGAGGAATCGGACCGTCAGTTGATTGTGCAATGTTTTCTGATAGAAGGGTGGGTGGTTTGGGGATGATGGGAGTTGGAGGCACGGCAGGGCGTAGCCTTGGAAAGATGGGGCATCGAGAATGCCTATTTGCGGGGTCTGGAGTTTTGCACTACGGCATGCGGCCTGGGAAGCAAGAGGACGTAATATGTGAACTGAACAACGGAGCCAAATCCAATGGTGGAGAGGCAGTCGTCGTACTTGTCCCTGCAGTTGGGAAAGACTGAGCGTGTTGTATCACGTGAACAACAAAGGTAAATGCTGCGACTGTAAGCTCCCTATAACTTAAAGGTGAGGGATTCCTAACTGGATTATACCGTGGGGTGTAAGGAGCTCCCCGGGAATGTTGTGTGGTGTTAATGGATGGCAAAAAAAGAAGCGCGAGTTTGCGATACTTAGATGACGGAATTGTTGCCTGGGGTAAGGTGAAGCGGGGACAGCTGCAAGGCTGAAGTGCGTGGACAGGGGGAACGGCGCAGTTAAGTTGAATTGCTGGTGGTCGTGACACTGACGACGTGTGGGGTAGGAAGACCAAGGGTAGGGGTTGCTGAAGGAATGGACGGTAGCGCAGGTGGGGGTTTCTGCGAGACAGAGAGAGAAAGAGCTGGTAGAGCGGGGGGGAGCAGAAGGAGCTATGTTGGCTGCAGCTAAAGGAAGAGGATAAGAAGGATGCTGGGATGTGAGGGATGTAGCAGGGGTAGGGTGTGTAGCCTCCTGAAACATGGGTGGGAGAAAAAGGGGAAACAGTGGAGTCGTTTGCGTTACTGGGCGTCGTCGTGACATCATCGGCGGGTCAGGTGCATGTGGCGCTGCATCGGGAATGCGGAGTGGCCTGCTGGAGGCTGTTGGAGGTCGCTGGGTAAGCTGGAAAACCTTTCGGTGGAAAGGTATAGCTTCCTTGAGTGCACACTGGAGCCGTGATCGGGTTAACTGATGTGGGGCCGCGAGTCGGTTGTGAAGCCGGTGGTGCGGCCGGTCAGAAGTCTGGAAGAGTCGACTGTGGCCACTGTGGCCTGTGTGTGTTCGGAGGAGTTGGACAGGAGCTGAAGTGGATGAAAAATACTGGATGATGCGGTGAGAACTTGAATAACGGAGCGTTGTCGTGGTGGACGTGTAGCTAGCTGCATGGGAGATAATAAAACTATGGACTGAGAAGATTAGAGAGCGCGGGCGGATCTTCGTACGGATCGCAGTTGGGGGGGCTGAGAAGCAGCTCGTGATCTGTGTAAAGGTAAGCAAAGGTACTTTCGAGAAACTTCAATGTGTGTCTGAGTCTGAACTGATGGTCGTGAGAACTGAGAAACGGGAGAGAAAAGGGGTTAGACAGGCTTATATACGTGAGTGCATGTGACTGGATTAGAGGCACAGGTAGATGAAATAAGTGAAGCACAGGTGGTTGATTGGAGGAATTGGATGAGGCGCAGGTGGTGGAATTAGTGGGAGAGGCGTGGTCCTGTTCCTGAACTTTAGTTATATAACTCCATAAAAGTAATTCTAAAATTTCAGCTACAAGTAAATTTTTTATGTACTTAAATGAAACAATTACAGTGGGGGAAATAAGTATTTGACCCCTTGCTGATTTTGCAGGTTTGCCCACTTACAAAGAATGCAACAATCTACAATTTTAATCATATGTACATTCTAACAGTGAAAGACAGAATCCCAAAGAAAATTCCAGAAAATCACATCATATGAATTTATAAAAATTGATAACCATCTGATGAGGAAAAACAAGTATTTGACCCCCTGGACAAACAGCATGTTAATATTTTGTAGAAAAGCCATTATTGGCCAGCACAGATGTCAAACGGTTTTTATAGTTGGTGACAAGGTTTGTGCACATTTCGGCAGGGATGCTGGCCCACTCCTCCCTGCAGACAGCCTCCAAATCATTCAGGTTCCGAGGTTGTCGCCTGGCAACTCGAATTTTAAGCTCCCTCCAAAGATTTTCAATTGGATTCAGGTCTGGAGACTGGCTAGGCCACTCCAGAACCTTGATGTGCTTCTTCTTCAGCCACTCTTTTGTTGCTTTGGCGGTGTGCTTATGGTCGTTGTCGTGCTGAAACACCCATCCTCGACCCATCTTCAGCTCTCTCACTGAGGGAAGGAGATGTTGGTCCAGAATTCCACGATACATGGCCCCGTCCATCCTCCCCTCAATACGATGGAGTTGTCCCGTCCCCTTGGCTGAAAAGCACCCCCAAAGCATGATGTTGCCACCACCATGCTTGACGGTGGGGATGGTGTTCTTTGGGTTGTACTCGGTGTTCTTTGCCCTCCAAACACGACGAGTTGAGTTGAGGCCAAAGAGTTCTATTTTGGTCTCATCTGACCACATCACCTTCTTCCAGGCCTCTTCTGAGTCGTCCAGGTGGTGAATGGCGAACTTCATGCGGGCCTGTACATGTTTCTTCTTGAGCAGGAGGACCTTGCGTGCGCTGCAGGATTTCAATCCATGACGGCGTAGTGTGTTACCAACCGTTTCTTTTGTAACTGTGGTCCCAGCTGCCTTCAGTTGATTCATCAGTTCCCCCCTTGTGGTTTTGGGATGATTCCTCACCGTTCGCATGATCAGGGACACCCCACGAGGCGAGATCTTGTGTGGAGGCCCAGACCGAGGGAGGTTGGCGGTGGTGTGGTGCTTCTTCCATTTCCTGATAACTGCACCGACAGTTGATCTTTTCTCTCCAAGTTGCTTTCCGATTCTCTTGTAGCCCATCCCAGCCTTGTGCAGATCAACAATCTTGTCCCTGATGTCCGTAGAAAGCTCTTTGGTCTTGCCCATGGTGCTGATGTTGGATGCTGGTTGTTTGGGTGTTGACAGGTGAATTTTATACAGGTAACGACGTGAGGCAGGTGTATTTGATGTAGATAATTGGTTGGGATTGGGGCTGTGTCTTAAAGAAAGACTAACTGGCTTGTAGGAGCCAGAATACTTGCTGTTTGTCCAGGGGGTCAAATACTTGTTTTTCCTCATCAGATGGTTATCAGTTTTTATAAATTCATATGATGTGATTTTCTGGAATTTTCTTTGGGATTCTGTCTTTCACTGTTAGAATGTACATATGATTAAAATTGTAGATTGTTGCATTCTTTGTAAGTGGGCAAACCTGCAAAATCAGCAAGGGGTCAAATACTTATTTCCCCCACTGTATTAACAACATTGTGAACGAATGCCAGAGGATTATTACTGAAAGCAAATAATATTACCTTCGGGCCCTGAGGTCCATCTAGGCCCGGGGGTCCCAGAGGGCCTGTGATTCCCTAAAATAAGCCACACAGCACAGAAAAAGTATACACGCTGACATCAGTTTGAATTACGGGAGAAACAGGTAAAAATCAAATGGATCTGTCATACATCCACAAATGTCAATCCCAGCTGTGAACAGTTCAATAAAAGGTTAAATACAAAGCTGAGCGGCCTGTCATCGACAGCGTCAGTGCATCCTGGAAACAAACTTACCTTTAACCCGGCCAGACCTGCAGGTCCCACTTCACCCATCAGCCCCGGTTCACCCTGTTCAAGAGGGTGAACATGACATCAGGAACAGCTTCTACTCACCAAAATCTGACTGATCCATTTTATATTCTGTTTATTAAATATTCAACCATCACTACTAAAAATGTAAGTGCTTGTAATCATCAAAAAAGGCTCAAACAGCTGGGCACTGCAGTTTTTAACACACATTACAAACAAGTGTAAAAAGTGCTTTTGTTTGGGACTAATTTCATTCATATTAATACACATTTAGTGCTTAGTGAGTATTTACAGCAGCAAGGATGGTGTATATGGGATTGAGACAAAATAAACTACAGTGTGTGTATTCATGGTAATGAAGGAACATGTCACCAGTGCAACAGTGTGGCTCACTGATGTCACAGGGGAGATCAATAACTCACCAAATCCAAAAAAATTGGGATACTGGGAGTATGCTGTATCATTAAAATGTAACAGAAATACCAAACACAAAATTGGGCTGACCATTAGTCCAACGTGGCCCTTCTCCCCCTTTGGGCCCCTTTCACCATTTTCTCCAAGGGTTCCCCAAGGGCCTTCTCGACCAGACAACCCTGGAGGTCCCACCTCACCCTGCCGACAACAGCCACAGCCTGATCAGAAACTGCAAACATCTCTTAGAGTCAAACCAACACAATCACCCTCCTAATCAGCGGCGTGAACAGGATGAACTTTAACGTGTCCATTCACCAACTTCAACAAACTATAGTGAGGTAGTAAAACGACCTTTTCCCCTTTCGGTCCAGGATCTCCAGCTTCACCAGGATGGCCGGCATCACCCTGCAGAGGGGGAATGAACGTGAGTGTGGAGTGGAACAGCTGTCCAGCTGCAGGTCAGAACGAAAACACCTCATTTTAAAGGAATGATTTGAAGCTATCACAGAGATTACAGGCTATGCTAGCTCTCTGCTCAGCATGTTATATAATCAACATGTTAAAACCCTCACAGGAATCTGAGCTGTGCGCTGGCATTGTCAAGAAATGTTCATTTCACGGTTTATCTAAAGGTGATGGTAGTACCATTTTTATAAGTATTTCATAGAGCACCTGAAATACGTGACAATAATCTGTAATGCCAACAAGAAATAACAAAAAATACTACAAGCAAATCTGTTCACCATAACACTGTTGCTATAAAGTGATGCTGTAAAGTAAACAGAGTGGAGGTAATGGTATTGTGATGAAGCCCTTAAATTCTTCACTGAATTGAAAAATCACCTCCTGTGGAGCTGCTCTGTCATTTATGAGACAGCAGTCGAACACGTGTGAGAAAACGTCTGTAATCAATTTAAAGTGAAGATCATCTTTGTATAAACAGCAGATAAAATGCACCTACCTCTTTACCGACTGGTCCAGGTGGTCCCTGCAATCCTTTTGGGCCCTCGAGTCCTCTCTCTCCCGGAAGCCCTGGAGGACCAGGTTTCCCACAAGGCCCAATGTCCCCCTGTGAAAACATGGCAACATAAGAAGACAGGAAATCATTAATCATCAAGACAGGATACATTTATTGACTGCAGGTTATCAAATGCCTTTACAGAGTTGGCTGTCAAAATGTTTAATTCCTCAAAAAACCTGGGGCTGTAGACTGTTCCGCAACATTAAACAAAGACAGTTTGGTCTCATATTGTATGTATTGTATGAACAATCAGTGATGTAAAGAGTCAGGATTGATGCTGCTGTAAACACTGACCTGATATCCTTTCTGTCCTGGTGGGCCTTCAGTTCCTGTTTGGCCATGGAGACCCTGATGTCAAAAGTCAAAACAATCATCTCCTGACAATAAAAAGTCCTCCTGCCATTAATTGTTTACTATTATTTTATTATGTTAACGACAAAAGCAAATGTCAGAACAAGTAAGGAAGGCGAAGATATACTTTATGTCAAAACTGGATATATGAAAATGTTGCTTCACTATATAACTAAACCAACCTGTTGTCCATCTTGTCCTGTGGGGCCATCGTCACCAGGCAAGCCAGGTAACCCCTGGTGGTTACAGAATCAGTTCAGAACTCAACATAAATGAAATACTCATATTAAATGATTGTTATATGGACTGTGGTTTACCTTTTGTCCTCTTTCCCCTGCTGCTCCTAATAATCCATCAGCACCCTGTGGGCCCTGAGGAGATTCATGTAAATTTTTTGCTTGGTTTTGAAGGTGTGTTGGGTCAACCAGATGTTCAGACATCTTGTATTAAAATGAAAGTATTTGTGGATTTTCATCTTTCCAGACTATAAGACGTCTGGACCGTATAAAAAAAAGCAGCAGTCGATGGTAGGTACCCACTCACTGTGATTCCTGCTGGCCCCTGTGGCCCCTGAGATCCTGGGGGCCCTTGGCTTCCCCTCGGTCCTGGTTTTCCAATTGCCCCATCAACACCAGGGAGACCTGGAGGGCCCTAGAATAAAAATCAATCTTACATTTTCTGTCAAATGTTTAATGTTCTGAGTGAGTTTCCAAGACTTTTTGGACTCGGTACAAAGTCAAGACTCAGCCAGGGATTTCATCTGTAATCTTTTCTGTTGTCGCTTCAGTCTGTCATTGGTATGTACAGATTATCTATAATATTCAGTCAACTGTGACTAATTTCAGTCAATTCATCTTCATTTTCAGTTTAAAGAAGCAGTTGACAGTTACATTATGGGATGCATGTAAGCGTACATGCAAACAAATGGACACATTGATTGGTAAACAGGTTTTTTATGATGCATGTGTGATAAACCATGATGAGTCAAGATACCAAACCAAAGCAAAAAGGCAAGAAAACAACTGTGTGTCCAATTTAAACGCAAACAGAAAACCCTGCAACACACAGTGATGTGTCATTATGAAAAAAGTAAACTGCTCAACTTCACTAAGAACTACAACTTACTGGTGGGCCCTGTATCCCTTTGGGCCCTTCGTCTCCAGGCCGACCCTGTAAGAAACAAGAAGTTCCACTTAATTCACTGGTTCATTAGGAAAGTTGAAAGACATGATCTGATGGTTATGAATGTTTCCCAGTGAATTCATTAGTTCTTCTAGACTGGATATTGTTAAAAAAGAAAAGTAGATTATTTGTGATCACTATCAACGTTGTGTGTGATTATTCATTATGTTTTCTGTGCTGGTTTTATAAACAGAATTTCCTTAGGGACAATAGGTGATACTGCGTAATACTGAGTCATAATTTAATGATTAAAAACCACCAGCATCACAATTTGAGTCCATTAACCAAGCAGCAAGAAGCAAAATATTTTGTTCTCTCTGATTTAGGGCACAAACTTTCCTATCAAAGGTTTCTCTCACCTGAGGTCCCCGGGGTCCCTTCTCTCCAGGCGGACCTGGGGGACCCTGAAAAAGAAAACCAGACAAGTCAGAACATGCTAATCACACCCACAACGGGTACGAGGAGACAAGAAAAAGAAGCCCCAGGTATTTTGTGTAAGCTCAAATATCATTTGTACCCACGTCTCTCTCAACACTTTCCAAGCAAAAATCTGTTGTAGTCAGGGGACGAATTGAAAGTATAGTGTGAAGTTATCCATTTTGTGATGCATTAAGTGTCCTTATCCAGTCAGAATACCTCTGAAGCTGGTATTATTGTTGGTTGCTTAGTGAGAGATGAATAAGGCCAGAATAGTCATCTGGCCCAGGGGCTTGATGGCTACCAAGCTGAGTTCTTTAAAAATTTTTGGAACATCTTTAATGACCGCATCTGCTATTACCTTCCTCCTACACCTTACCTGAACCTTTAATATAGTGGAAGTTTTTTTAATGAACTGTAAACCCTGAATAGTTACTGTATCTTGAGGTCGGTGATGACTGTATAGTCACACATTTAACAGAATATCACAGATTTAAAAGGTGTACTTTTTGACAAACACTGTTCCCTACAGGCTTTGTCTACTCTCCAGAGCTCTTACATTTTCTTTCATTCCCTCTGAGAATAAAGTATGGACATGATATTTTGAAAAACCTTTCCAGCAAAATGTAGAACCTCACTCAGGTTGTCCAGCGCATTCGGTTTACCGCTGTATTTAGTGTTCAAGCCAGCAGCTGATGATTTCACCTTCCAGGAGTTGTGTAACTTTACTCTCACATTAATGGGCAACTATGTGAGTCAGCCAAAAGTGTGTCCAATGACACTGCAGGAGGGATGGTGGACATGGAGTGAACTTCTGAAAATTCTCCCGCTTCCATTACTGAAAGTAACTCTTTCCAAGCAAGAGTGATTTTCTTATTCCCAAATCTAACCAACCAAAAGAGGAGGATTGAATCGTAGGGTGCAGAAACATTGATGTGTTTCAAGAAGAAAGTTTGAGTTTTCAGCTTCATAGACAACTTCACCAAAGCAGAGGAAAAGTCAATCCGCGCAGGTAAAGGAAAAGACGAGGTCTGTGTGTGTGTACCTGCATTTATGATGTTTACAAGGGTATGTGTTTAAGGCCACTTAACAAATCAACTCTCTAATGGAGATTAATTCTGAATGTGTCCAGCTCTTATATCTATCATACTGTGGGCGTGTCTGCTCTGTTTAGTTAGTTCTCTGTCAGTTTGGTTATTTTGAGTCTTCTCTGTATCTGTCATTTAGTCTGTGTTTTGGGTTTCAGTCTGTTCTTGTCATTCATTTTGTTATTCGGTTTGCCTGTCTGTCCGGTTTTAGTTTTTGCCTTTATGATGTTTAGTTTATTTTTCTGCATTTAGATTGGCCTCTGAATGTTGATTTTATTTCTCTGCCTGCTTGTCTGTTCTGTGTTTTGAGTTCCAGTTGGATTCTTGTCTTATGCCCTTGGTCTTTTGCACCCTGTATATCTGTTTATATGTACTCATATTTCTGTTGGGATTTGTCTGTGGGTTTGTTGGTAGTTCTGTTAGTATGGGCCTGTTTGGTATCTTTCTGTGTTCCTGTAAGTACATCACCCTGCCTGCCTGTGTCTGTCTGCTGTTATTATTAGTATCACCTGTGCTTAAATGTTTGTTGCTTCTGTTTAGCTGTTGCTGGTGTGTTGTATGTCCACTGCCGTGTGGCTTGCTTGCTAGCTTGCTTGCCTGTCTGTTTCTGCTGCCTCGTTTTTGGACAACTCTTTGTTGAATTCTGGACTCTGCCGTAAGTTCTGTGGGCTTAAATAAATTCTCAGAAACTGTACCTGTTCTGCCTCTGTGTCCTGCGTTTGGGTCCTAAAACCTGTCCCTGCCTGCACACACGACAACATAGTAATATAGAGACTAAAATACTATTGAAAACAATTGTCATGTAAGCAGTATGTGTAAAATAATTTCACTTTTCAAGCACATTTAGCCTAGGGGCCATACTAAAGCACTGTCCAAACATAAATCAGTTTAAAATTGGGTATAATAGTATGGTTTTCACAGGTTACAGAGAGGAAGAAGGGGGTGAACAATCAGTGTTTTCTGGGTCTAGTATTTATTTTCACTTTTGTTATTGTTGTTATTCATTCTTTCCTCATATGTACCTCTTTTTCCTTATTTAAAAAAAAAAATATGTACATTTTGAATTGCTTTTGGGTATGACAAAGTAGATGTGTAAATATTAATTTGGAAGACAGGTTATTTATTAAGGGTTTTATTTGTGGACAAGGGGTGTGATTTTAATAAGTTCTTTTCCTCTTCCCACTGTTCGAATATGTAAAGAAATTGACAAGAGTTTAAAGAAATGTCTTTGACTCTAATTATTATTATTGATTTGTTTTAATTACTATTTCTTGTCTGATGTCTCTGTTTCACATATATTCAAAATAAACACCTAAATAAAGTAAAAAAAACAATGCTTACTGGAAAGTGTAGAGGTGGCCAAACTTCATAAACCATCAGTCAGCACTAGATTGTTCCACTCTGTTGCCAAAACAGTAGAGTGGAACAGGGCTGTCATTGAGGATGTCACCTGGCAGTCTGGATTGCAGGGGGCTGCATCTGGTGGACATGTCCTCTCACTCTGCCAGTAAATTTGCCACCAGTGTCCCCAACAAAATCAATCCCTGAGACCTGTTTGCCTCCATGAACAGGCAGTCCCTGCACACCAGCTGCACACTTCACTGGTTTTCTTTTATTTACCAAACCCTCCTTGGTGTGACCCCATTATAGCTGCTGTCTTCATCAAATCCTCGGAACAGTGCTCAGTCCTGCTCTCGTATACCCTGAAACAGCTCCCGGGGCTGAAAGATGGGAAATAAAAATAAACTACAGACACTTACTGCAGGTCCTGGCTTCGCAGCGGGCCCAGGTAAACCTCGTAAACCTGGCTCACCCTGGCACAGAAGGAAAAGAAAGAGTTTATTATAGTTATTTCTCACAGCTAACGTTGCCTCCAAAAGTCGCCACACCCCCACATTGTCAAAATGTCAGCGAAAATGTTTGCAAAAAGTTTTGCCTTCTAAAAGTGGCTATTATTCCTTGAACTCAACTGTTGAACATCCTCATCTGTTCTCATGTACAACGGCATGTTTGAAGCTCCCCTCACGTTCCTTTGTTCCGCCAACAAAGCTCACCTTTACAAGGTTTTAACATTCGAGATGGGTGACAGAAAGATGACCTTACCCTTTCTCCAATGAACCCTGGAGGCCCACGCATGCCCACGGTGCCCTGGATGCCCTGATGGCAGAAGGAACAACAGATTTTCAAAAATACCATAATTGATTAGTTTTTTTGAGCATTAAAAGATCTGAACTGTAGGAGTTGTTTGATTTGACCTTTTTGGAAATACTCTCCTACTGCATTAGGTACACCTTTCTACTGGGTAGGACCGCCCCTTTGACCCCAGAACAGATTGGGCTCTTCGTGGCATGGATTCAACAAGGCTGGGAAATATTCCCTAGAGATTTTAGTCTATATTGACATGATAGCATCCTGCAGTTGCATCACATTTGTCAGCCTCACATATCGATATTTGTCAGACCAGCTGTTTTAAACAAACAAGATACATATAGCTGTAGCTTCATATTAAGCATTCAAATAGAGTGGTATCAATGTTCTGATCTATACTGAACAAAATTATAAACTTGTGGCAGTGTGGAAGAAAGACTTTCTACCATTCTATATACGCTCTAGATTAACTTTAAAAGCAGACAAGTGATACACTGACTGCAGAATGTCATTCAGTCTTTTATTGCCATGTTATTCTTGAAATGTGCACTGAACAAAATTATAAACGCAACACTTTTGTTTTTACCCCTGTGGTGTATAACATATGTGCATTTGACGCATAACAGTTTAACATAGCACTGTAGCAGCTGGATAGAGGATTAGTGACCTTTAAGGGGAGAGCAGAGGTCAGTGGTTACGTGGAGGCTCAGACCCTTATCTGGTGTCCAACAAGATGTCTACACTTATCCTATAGAACTTTGCTCTTATATGGATTGGAGCCTTAGTTTGCAGACTCTGACCCTTATATGGTATTTAGTAGATACCTAAACATGTCCTATATAAGCTGTGTTTGATGTACAGAGAGACAGAGTGGCCATCGGGCTTGGTCACTCTCCAAGCTGCTGCAGAGCTTGTAATTGATGCTGAACTCCTTGATGTAATAAACTTTTATGATCAAGAACAGTGTCAAGCGGATTTCTTCTCAACACATCATCGCAGCATTATTGTTTGGACACCACACCCCCATTCATCATGAGCTGAACTCAAAGATCTAAGACTTTCTCTATGTACACAAAAGGCCTATTTCTCTCAAATATTGTTCATAAATCTGTCCTTTGCCGAGATAATCCATTCACCTCACAGGTGTGGCATATCAAGATGCTGATCAGACAGCATCGGTATAGCACAGGTGTGCCTTAGGCTGGCCACAATAAAAGGCCCCTCGAAAATGTGCAGTTCCATCACACAGTACAATGCCACAGATGTCGCAAGTTTTGAGGGAGCGTGCAGTTGGCATGCTGACTGCAGGAATGGCCACCAGAGCTGTCTGAATTGAATTTTCATTTCTTTAGATTAAGCCGTCTCCAAAGGCGTTTCAGAGAATTTGGAAGTACATCCAACCGGCCTCACAACCGCAGACCACATAACCACACCAGCCCAGGACCTCCACATCCAAAATCTTCACCTCCAAGTTCATCTTTGACCAGCCACCCGGACAGCTGCTGCAACAACTGGTTTGCATAACCAAAGAATTTCTGCCACAAACTATCAGGAACCGTCTCAGGGAAGCTCATCTGCATGCTTGTCATCCTCATCGGGGTCTCGACCTGACTGCAACTTTGCACAGCCATTGAAGAAGAGACCAACATTTTAAAGGCCACAATCAACAACCTGATCAACTCTATGCGAAGGAGGTGTGTTGCACTGCGTGAGGCAAAGGGTGGTCACACCAGATACTGGACCCCTCAATACAATGAAACTGCACATTGTCGAGTGGCCTTTTATTGTGGCCAGCCTAAGGCACACCTGTGCAAAACCCAAGCTGTCTGATCAGCATCTTGATATGCCACACTTGAGGTGGATAGATTATCTCGGCAAAGGAGAAGTGCTCACTAACACAGATTTTGACAGATCTGTGAACAATATTTGAGAGAAATAGGCCTTTTGTGTACATAGAAAAGTCTTAGATCTTTGAGTTCAACTCATGATGAATGCGGGCAAAAACAGAAGTGTGAAATTATCGGCAAGAAGGCAAAACATTTATAAATACAATATTTTTAATAAATTGTAATAAGTTTTTATTTTACTAGAAAGAGTAGCCCTATCTCTTTCCTCTTTGGTTTTATTATCAGAAGAATGTTTGTGTGTGAGGACATAAAATCACTTTGGACCGATCCACTACTATTAAAAAATTTACAATAACTATACCATTATTTTGTGTGTGCGACTTATGAGCCTAACCTACCATACATTCATACATGATATCGTTTTTTTTTAAATGCTCAGTTCCATTCCATAAAGCCATTCTGACATGGTCTCTTGTTTAACATCAATATTGAAATTACAAAGCAACATGTAAAGGTAAAAGGTAATAATCTGTTTAGTTTTAATGTGAAATGATACAGTATACTATTCATACACTGTATATTCTACACACATTATGTATATTCTGGGAAAAGGTAGTACAGGTGCATTCCCTGTATTGGCCTTGCTGAAGAATCACTTACATACATGCCTACTGGGCCCTGAGGTCCCTCCATGCCTGGCTTCCCTGTAAAACCCTGAGAAAACACACACAAAACAAACATCTGCATAGCACACACTGACAAAATACACACATATATACATATATGCGTGTTGATGTAATGGATGTCATGACTTCTCTGCCCCTGTGGACTCACCCTGTCTCCTGGGGGGCCTGGTGATCCTGGAGGTCCTGGTTTCCCTGGTGGCCCCTGTCAGATAAAAAGTTCCAATCAATACTAGCAGTGCTATAATAAAACGTGACATTGACATTTCTCGTCAAGATGAAAAGCTGTCTCGCAATAACAGCATGATGGAGTGTGAGGGAGTGTGCAGCATATAAAGATGCCTCCGACACTTTAAAATCGTTTTTGTGGCAGCATTTTGAGTACCAGGTGGAAACAATAAATGGCAACAGAGTGACAGACAAGACACCAATAATATGTAAGCAACATTTCATTGTTTTGCATTTTGTGATTTTCAGTCAAATAAAATACATATTTCGTCATTGATTTCTAAAACGTAGAGTTAAAATTTCGTCTCATTTTGTCCCGTTCTCGCGAACCCAATATCATGTATTGTTTATTGTGTAACGTCTTGACTCATTAGCCAAGACTATTGTCCCACCCCTAATCAATACCGTCTGTTTATCTGCTCACCCAATCAGATTCACAGGACTACATAGACATTACATCATCCCAAATACCATGAGCTTTATGACAACATGCACAGTGAAAACAAGGATGCTGATGATCAAGCGCACATCTCTGACATTTTTGCAAAAATGCTTGTTTGCTGTCTGACTGGAAGTTAGCTCAGCTCAGTTTGGTTTCTTAGAGTCTCATCTTTGGACAAAACCGTGTTGGTTGCTGGCTTAAACATTTGTTTCACGGGGAATAGATTTACAAACAACCCAACGGCTCTTTCTTGTGCTATCTGCTTCAGAGGATCTGTCAACTCAAATAAACTTCCTTCTTGGCTTCATTCTCGTCTCTGAATAACTCCGCTTCAGCAAGGCAAGGCAAGGCAAGGCAAGGCAAGGCAAGGCAAGGCAAGGCAAGGCAAGTTTATTTGTATAGCACATTTCAACAACAAGGTAATTCAAAGTGTTTTACATAAAACATAAAAGCAACAGGGAAATACATATAAAAAGTAGTTATGGCCTTTCAAGTGCTTTGTCTTGCAAATGACACAACCACAGACTAATAACAAAACATACCGGAGACCCTGGTGGGCCGTCTGCTCCTCTGTCTCCAGCAGCTCCTTGAAAACCCTGGAAAAGTAGCAGAGTAAACTCACAGTTGCTAAGAAACGGCAAAAAGCCACATGCGGTATAAAGGGACACAGTGTGTAATATAAAACGTGCAAATGTGGAACAAACTGTAATTTATTTCTAGCAATTAACAGATGTGCACTGAGCTCTTAAATTATTGGTTTAGCTCAGCTGATTAGTATTTTACCAATAGTTACTTAATCTGCCATTTGATGGGATTCACAAGGCTACTCCCTAAATGTCAGTACGGATAATGTATTGGTGATTAAGAGTTTAATTTAAGACTCTTTAAAAGGCATTTGTCTTTGTTAACTTGAGCAATCAATAACGTGGTGACTGTTCATTTGGTAATATAAAAAGTGTTACTCAGCAGCAGTACATCTAGAGTTTATAAGTAGTAAATCCAGTTTTCTTAGAACATTAAGACTGATGTGCACAAAATGTTGATGAGTTGGCAAAAAACATTTGGTTTGGAGCTGTTTCTCATTGTTTGGGTCACTTAGTTTCATTAAAGGGAAGTCTTAACGCAACAGCATAGCCAACAGTGTGGTTCCAACTTTGTGGCAGCAGTTCTTCCCCGATTCAATAAAATAATGTGCATAGCCAAGTCCAAAAAGAGATTGTTTTCCCAGTTTGGTGAACTGGCCTGCCCAGAGCCCTGTACCCAGTCCCATCCAACACCTTTGGGATGAACTGGAAGACTGACTATGAGCCAGACCTTACTGCCCACTATCAGTGTTGGACCTTGACAATACTCTGAACAGCTGGAAATCATTATAGCCATGTCTTAAAATTTGTTGGAATGTCTTCCAAGAAGAGTGGAAGCTGTTATAGAGGAGAGTCAAAGAACCATTTTAAATGAAATATTGTTATGCTGCAGAAATGTCCTGGCCTACACAAGAAAACATCTATATTTGGTACAGATCCCTGCAAAAATCACACCGTAATCATTTAAATAGTTTTTCAATGAAAATGAATTATTGTGTAAAATGAATTATGTAATAATGGTCATTTCCTCCAATACTGCAAATCATATCGCAATTGCAATATCAGTCGCAATTTTCACAATTAAATATTTTTTCAAAATCGTTCAGCCCTCTTATAGAGCGATTTTCAACAAACACATATAGGTGCAATGTTAAGGTGTCCACATATTTTGAGTGTGTGACACAAACACGCATGTACATACATGAACTCGGATCAGCCCCAGCCACTTTTAGTGAGCACGCATGATATGTTCAACTGCCTGGTAGCAGGTTCAATTCTGTCTTGTTAAAACTTTTTTTTTTCCTTTGGCAGAGTTTGTTGTGTTTGCCTGCTCATGAGTCTATAAAACCCTCCATATTTAATCCTGGGCTGTCTTGTAAAAGTGTAATAATGTGGTTTTATTCTGTTGAAGCCTGTAGCTTGTGGCAGAGAGCCAAAAAAGACAAGCTGGAGGGATGATGTCATAAGCTGAACGTTGAGGTCATTCTGAGGCTAACAGTCTTACCATTGGTCCTTTACTGCCAGCACTGCCAGCTGCACCTGAGGGACCCTAAAACAGAAACAGAGAAAATACCAACAATGCAATTTCTCCCAACAGCAGAGGTCATTCAGAGTGCAAATAGTAAATATCATCACTTTAATGAATTCAATTATGAAGAACATGAACTATGTTGTAATTAAATCTTAAAATTATAGTTCAACATTATGAGAAATATGCTAATGTGCTTTCTTGCTGAGTGTTAGATATGATGAGAAGAGTGATGCCACTCTTGAATCTGTACATTAAATATGAAGCTATAGTCATAAGATGATTAGTATAGCTCACCCTCTCTCTCTCGTCAACAATGTCCACACATGTTAAAACAATTATAGCAAAATGGTTACTTTAAGGTAACAAAACCCACTGGATTAAGGTTAGGGAAAGAATGTGGCAATGGTAAATAATAAAAACACTGTAAACAATAATTTCCAATCTGTGGAGATATCGCAGTACTGGTAATCCGGCCAGCGGTACTATACTGATGCTCTCTTCTCATAAACACTTTGCAGCATTCACGCTGGTAGGAAGATTTTGTTAGCTTTGGATGGAGCCAGGCTAGCAGTTTCCCCCTCTTTCCAGTCTTTGAGCTAAGCTAAGCTAAGCTAATCTAACTGTCTCCTGGTTGTAGCTTCACATTTATTGGACAGATATGAGATATTGAAAGCGATTAAGCGTATCTCCCAAAATGTCAAATCAGATCTTTTATCAATTTCATTAAAACCTTTTGTTCATTTGTTTCTACACATCTCTTAAAATCAAGGCACTGACTTGATACAAGTGAAACTGAAGTGGAGACTTTTTAAAACAAGAGTCACCCCAATAAAGGGTTTATTTTCATCATTGATTCATTTGTTGATTTTTCTTATAAATAAATGATAAAACGTCAAGTCAAATAAAATGACCAGAGGTTTTTATCCAATCAACAGCCCCAAATGAAAGAAAACAAAAAAGTAGCATATCCTCACATCTGAGAAGTTAAAGCCAGAGAATACTTTGCATGTAAAAGACTTCAGAATTATTAACATATGATCACAATTAGTACAATTAATCTTCTGTCAAACGGCAAATCAATTAATTGTTGATGATGAACATGCAATCTTTTGCAACACATTTCCCTCTACAACAGCTTATCACAGAACTCTTGTACTGTACAAAGACTGCCTCCTGCTGTCTAAAGCAACAATTACTACATTAGAGTAACAACTAGGGAGTCACTTTTGACTGTTTGAGGGCATTTCCATCTATCTTAGCGGTCTTTGCTATACGTTTGCATGCAACAGCTATGAAATCTTGGACTCGAAGGAGCATTTCTCTTTAAAGAAGTGAAGCATGAGCAGTAAAGTGTCTCTTCCCTTTATTCTCATCACCAATTTTAGCCCTGTGCACTCTAAAAGACACAAAACCGGGACTATAAACCAAGACAGATAATGACGTGTGTGGAATATGTCCACATGATAATTACAAAATAATTCACTGAATTATTCATGCTTGTACAATATGTGGCAGGAAGTAGAGGACACACAGACAAAACATAAAGCATTTACAAGTGATGGAATGGAAATATGATAGAGAATGGGAACCTGTGTACCAGGCTTTCCTTCTGCTCCCTCTGGTCCAGGTGGCCCCGGCAAACCCTGGGAGGGATAAACCAAAATCACACACAGAGACATACACAAACACAAACACACACTCATCCTGAAGAATTCTTTCTGCAGAGTAAAAAGACTTAAAAATTGCTTTTCTGTTCTATCTCTGCAGGTCTGGATTACAAGTGAGTATTATAGATGGAGGTTTAAGGCTGATATAGAATAGAAAGTATAAACATGTACCCATAGAGGTTTTTAGGCTTCGTAGGCCTTCACATCATCTGATTATGGTACAGAAAAATCTGCTTAACCATAATAAAATGAGTTAGGAATAATGTTAGGAATATACATGTTCAAATTAAATTTTAATTCTAATACAAACTACTCTTAAGACCTTGTATTTGAAATACTAACATTCAGACTTTTGAAAGACCTGCTTTTAGAGCTTAAAGAATTCAGGGACGACTACGTTTCAAATAATTTCTGACAGGCTTTAAGTTTACCGAAGGGCCCGGTTGGCCATCGTGGCCCCTCTGTCCAGTCCGACCCTGGAGAAAAGTAAAGAGAAGACGACATCTGTACAGTAACTAATAGTGGGTTACGAAAATGAAAATGATAGGTAATGGACAGATGTTTAGCAATACGAATTTATATGCTAGCTCTAATTTGGCAATGTTGTGAAGTCTCTATACCTTGTTTCCTCTGGGTCCTGGTTTGCCGGTACGTCCATCTGGTCCCCTGTTCCCCTTCAAGGAGGTTCAGATATTAGTGACAATTTCCACAAGAAGGCTGCCTTAATTTGTGTCTTGCACTGATTTTTATTCTTAAAATGGGTGAACTAATGTCGACATTAGAAAGCAGAAATTACAAGACTAGATATCCTTGTGTCACAGAGTCACAACATGCTTATCATTTAGATTTACTATTTAGATTATTAGTTGTCATTGTCATTAATAGTCACCTTATAAGCACATAAGCACAATAAGCACATTTGTTGTGTTTACAGACACACATCCGACGGACTGTCACTGAAACTTCGCTCCCTGGCCAGTAGGTGTCACTGTAAGACTGTGCATTGTGCATAGTGAGCGCAGTAAGGATGCAAGCAGAAGAGTAGTAACGGACAGAAACACGGAAAGTCCAGTATGGTAAGCCATGTAAGCAACCGCTTTTAGCTGCTGCTGATAGCTGAGCATAGTTCATTCAATTTGTCTGTGCTTCATTCACCAACATAACAAAATTCATAACAGAAGAATCCCTGAAGCCAGAAAAGGTGAATAATCACACTGGATGTTTTAAGAGCCTCTTCACTTCATTTTAGACTGAAATTAGACAGGCATAACACGTATCTTCTGACCCTGAAGAGGCAGAGGTAGGTTGTGGTAATGTGGTAAGTAACCATTGGGCTCCGTGAAAGGCACATTAGAGAGAGTAATGAATGTCAACACATCATCCATGAATTGCTAAAAACAGTTTGGAAACACCTGTCATCCCTGGAGTCATTAATCAAATTGTGGATTCATTTTTAATTATCAAAGTCTGTCTAAGATTTTACCTTGTGTCTGAAAGAGAGACAAACAAAATGTAACTTAAGCTGTTATTTTTTTAACAACTGATTGAACCTTTAGTAGAGGGCTGAAAGTGACTCCAGCTGTGAGGAGTGATTCCAATTAAAACTTGGATTTCACGTCGACATAACCGCTGTACTCGCTTCATTACTTTTTGATGTTTTAATTTAAAACACTAAATACTCCTGTGGAATGACCAAGTGCAGAAGAAGTCAGCAGCGTGTTAAATTCATGTTACTGCATTCATTCACTTCACAATATTGGATTGTTAAATTCACATGCAGGAGCTGGGAGCTTTAACTGTTTCGCAGTTAAATGTGACGTGTGGCTCAACATATGAGGTCATCTGACATTTCTTGGTGTTCAGACATACAAATCATCACTGACCTTTAACCCACGGCTGCCTTGTTTTCCCTGAGGACCAGTTTCTCCATTTGTGCCCTGAATAAAGAAATATAAAATCAGTCAAGCTTATCTCCTGGTCTACGTCTCCTGGTTAAAAGGGCATTTAATGCAATCGTGTTCTGCAAATACTATGCTGCATTGTGGGTTAAAAATCTGACAATGAAGTTTATTTTTTACTGTGTAAATCAACTCGTCATAGCTTAAAACTAAAACAGGTGTCCTTCTTGTTATTTACTGTTAAAAAGCATCAAAGTTCATTCTTGACAGTCAAAACAGGTATTTACTTTGTCAGGAAACAAAAAACATGGTGGTTAACCACTTCACCTCAGGGCCTTTGGGGCCAGGCTGGCCCTTGGTGCCTTGGAAACCTGGGAAGCCGATGGGGCCCCTCTCTCCCTGAGGACCCCTAATACCTGGTGCCCCTTGAAAACCCTGATATAAAATCAGAAAGAAACATTTTCTCATTATAAAATAGCACAGAGCCCTTATAGTTTTGCATTTTGGGAAATATGCATAACCAACAACAGAGACTACAGGAAGCAATGGGCCCAGTCAATAAATCGTCCCTCACATAACCTCGGTAAAACCACACTGCCTCATGCAAGAACCACTCGTACAATTTGTTCTGAAGGGGAATCTGAGAAATAGACCTGTTGTTTAAACATTACATTGATATGTAACTTAATTAAAGCCAAACAAATGCTAAGACTAATCCAAACTCGTGTTAAACCATTCCCTCTTTATGTGTGTCACAGTAGCACTGCTCTGATGACACGCTGTCGGCAGCGGTTCTATCAATATTCCTCTAATACCGCTACTGACGCTGCTATTTGGTCTGCTGATTTTCCGAAACAGGACTTGAAGCTCTGCTCTTCTTTTTACTTTCCCATAAACAGAGCAGCACGGGCAACCTTGTATGGCAGTTAATGCTAATGATGAAATCTCACAAACATGCACCTCCTCATGGACAGGTGGCATTCATCAAGGGTAAATGAGCAGGTCTGTGCAGTCACAAGAGTTTGGTGAATCTGACTTGTCTAAGTGAACCTCACAGAAAAAAAGTAAGAGAGGTTTAGGATAAAGTAGGAAAAATATTCTTGGACGAGGCCCGCTGTGTCGTTTACACATATTGTTATACACAAGGGAAAAAAAGAATAAATAAGCCTTAAGAAGGCACACTTTGTTAGCTTTGGACAGAGCTAAGCTAAGCTAAAGAATATTAAATTAATATAAATATATTTCCCAAAATGTTGTAACTCAACGTATTCAGTGTTATTAAACAAAAAGCTGCGGGCTTGTACTTTGTCGCCTTTAGTTCCTGGATCCCCCTTGTCTCCATCTGGTCCCCTTTTACCCTGTAAAGAAGAAAATGATCAAAGGGAGGTCCAGCCAATAAAGTTTTGCAGTAGATATGTTTGTAAATATATCTTGAGCACCTACCGTTACCCCGGGAAAACCCATAGGACCCCGTTCCCCTGGTGCACCCTGTAAATAATGTTAGTTGTTATATATATAGTAAGTTATTTTGAAGGTTTTCTAAGAGAATAAATTATAAATCTGTGAAACGAGTTCAACTACAGTAAAGGGCAGCAGAGAATTAATTTCACTTTATTGTCAGATTTTTTCTGTCATTTCTCTAGCATCCCAAGAATAAGGAGTGTAGATGAAACACAGCGGCTTCAGTGTCTCACAGCATCGTGTCAAGATCCACTGAGAAAACCAGTAGATGGCGCTGCGTGGCTGCAGTATGCTGTCTACCAACAGAGTGCTTGTAGAGATCAATGAGCAAATATATTTATAGTCTGTCAGTGTGAACCGTACAGTAAAGTTGCTTTGGATCACTCACCAGACCTTGCAGACGGCAGTCCCAACTGCTTGTAACACTCTCCCATACATCTAGTCTGTTCATACAATGTGTGTACCTACATGTGTTTGACTGTAATGATGTAATACCCTGGGGAATATGTTCAAGAGCAACTCACCATGGGCCCCTCAAAGCCGGGATCCCCCCGGGCACCCAGGGGCCCCATAGGCCCCTGAAATGAAAACAAAAAGAAAAGAAACCACACAGAAGAGAAAACAAAGATAAGACTACATTTTCTGTTCTTAGGTGCTCAGACTTACATCAGCTGTCTCTACATGTTGGTACATGACTTAGGACTTCTCATGATGCATGTCACCCTTATCTGTAGAATGAACAACTTGGCCTAAACCAGTGGTTCATAAACCTTTTCTGTCATGCTCATCTTGTTCATCTTTTATTTATTACATTGTGGAAGCTGCACTTGAGCAACATGAAGGAGACGAGGCTCTCCCACTACAGTGACACTTACGTTGAGAGCATTTAATGTTTTCCTAATGAGCATTGTTTGTTTTCTTTTGTCCCCTGTCTACAATCTGTCAAATCTATTAAACATTTCATTTTGCTGTCTGAATAAATCTTTACATGTTTGTTTATTGTCCCCGCATGAGGTTCATTGAACTTAATTTCCACACCACATTTTCTTTCAGTTATACTTGGGGCTGTAAACCAGGACACTTCACTACTTCCACTGCTGTGTGACCCGAGAGCAGCGTGAAATGCTTTTACGCCTGTTTTTACCTTTCTATGGTTGTTTTATGTTGGCGTGCACTTTTTAAACTTTTCATTATTTATACAGATTCTGGGTGCAAATGCATGTTGCATGTTGTGTATGTTGTTATGCTATGTGTGCGTGTGTTGAGTAGTTTCTAAGCAATTGGCCCTAGTGGGATTAATGAAGTTGTTGAATTAAATTGAATTCACACTAGGGGTTCTTGAGCCCAAAGAATCAGATAAGTTTGGATTCACGGATCTGACTTATCCCTTCACATCTGTCTGATCATGCATCTAAAATTGATTCACTTACCACAGGTCTGTTTTTCTGATTCCTTGTCTAACCTAAACAATTAGCGTAAATCTAAAAAACAGTTAAGTTGACAAGTCGATTTAGTTAATACAGTCCAACCATGATCTTATAGTTAAGAACAACTGGTTGCTGTACGGTGACTATGGAGTGGGGCTCTAAAACACTTGCATCTGTCACAGTATCAGCATCAAAGTTATATGACTTATACTGTGTGAAATTCAGTTCAATAAATCTCTTTTTTAAGGTTTAGAAAACAAAAGAGATGAAAAAAGGAACAGGATTAACATGATGAGAACAAACTTACGGGATCTCCTTTAAGTCCAGGAGCACCTATCAGCCCTGGGTGTCCCTGTTAAAATGCACAGATTGAAGTTAACCTCCTGCACTTTACCGGCGGCAAAGTGAGCAAAGCAGCACCCCAAAGAGTCAGAAGTCTCCATTAACAGTCTTGCCTTGAACTGTACTCACTTGGGGTCCTCTGAGTCCTGGAGGTCCCATCTGTCCCTCTAAACCTGGAGGCCCCTGGTCGAAAGAAAGGGAAGGCAACGCATTTTATGCCACAGTCTATAAACATTTCCAGCAAGTTGAATAACTGCAGCATATATATAACCAAAGAAAATGTATACCTGTGGGCCTTTGGGACCAATGCTGCCAGCAGGTCCCATGTCCCCCTAGAAGAAACAATAAACAATTTATACACAAAGGAAGAAACCTGTAAACTAAGTTTGGTCACTTGGTTTGATGTCAATGAAACCTTCCGGGCATGAAGTATAAAATCAAAAAAATCACATTTGCTTCTTTTCAAATTTCTACTCTATTGAAAACAGTTTTTTAATAATCCATTAATCATTTAAGTAATTATGCAGAAATGCCAAACATCCCATGCTTCTGAAATGGTAGAATCAGATGATTTTCTCTGTTTTATATCACAGTAAGCTGAAAACCTTTAGGGTTTTGGAGTGTTGGTTGGACAAAACATGCAACTTGAGGATAGCACCTTGGCTTTTGGAAATTTTGAGAAAATTTCACTTTTTTAACATTTAACAATCTAACAAATAATCGATTAATTAAAGCATTAAAGTAATTGCAGCCCTTGTGGGAAAACAGCTTTAACTCACATTTAAAGTATAGTTATAATAAAACTGTGGTGTAATCTTACCCTTGAACCATTAACTCCTTGACTGCCAACTTGTCCTGTAGAACCTGGTGCGCCCTGTGACACACACACACACACACACACACACACAAACAAATAGACATAAATTTATAACATGCACAAACAGCCATATTCTATCATTTCATCTGTTTTTCTGCTTACCGTCGGCCCTGGCAGACCTGGGGGGCCATCCAGTCCATTCTCCCCCTGGTAACAACACGTTAATAACAGCATGAATGAGCCACCATCCTACACACAGTATCTCGCAGTGAACGCAACTATACGATCACTTAATAATAATATTAATTCACCAAAAGTAGAAAATAATCAGGCATTAATCACTCCCCCAATATTAAGTATATTAACTACAGTTTGTATGAAAGCCAAACAAACACAGTAATACAGTATGTAGTTCTCAAACTTCATCCACATCTTTGAGACAATTTGTGGATGAAGTTTCAAAATTGATATATTTCCTGTTTTCTCCTTTACATGGGCTTCAAAAAAGCAGTTTGAAGAAAAGACGCTTAACATGGTCACCATTTTTTTAGGCTTAACCACAAAAAGAGGCCAAGCTCAATAGTTTTATTATTTGGTAAAACTGTGACTTGTTGTTACAGGATGATTATGTCAAGACTGAATGTATTTATTTTTTTGGTGAGCTTGTCCTTTTAATGTCAACATCACTACATGACAAAATAGTGAAGCAGTAAGACAGTGAAGAACGGGAAAGACATGATAAGCAAACAGCAGACAGAACAAGTACAAATATTTGACTGGTGGAAACTTGACATGCATTTAATGCTAGCAGCCAGAGTCGAATGGCACATCACTCACATCAGGCCCACGGGGCCCCTCTGGCCCGTAGCCACCTCGGATCCCCTGAGGACCCTGCAGAGAAGATTCAGAAATGCAGTGTCAACTTAATAACAATACACCATTAAAATACATAGAAAACAGAGTGAGGATTAATCAAACAGATGACCTCCTACTGATCAGAGTGCGTGTGGTAATATCAGGCAGACATTCTGATGTCTTGCCAAGTTGAATCAAAGTAAACCCGAGAATAGGCTGAAGAGAATATGAGAATCAGTGCCTCGCTGCTTGGAACTTAAAGTTCAAAGAGGGACTGGATTAGGGATTAAAAAGCATTCAGCAGTGCATGTCTTTCTTTCACAAAAGCTGATAGTTTGTTTTTTCTTTCCTTTTATTTGACACCAGTTGGATGTGTAAGAAATGTGTTACACAAGGACAGCTGTTACTTTCATGCATATTGTTTTAAATTGATCCTGTAATGTGCTGGCATCTTGCCCGGCAGATTGTACATGTCGTCTTCCTAATGTTTAAGCAGCTTAATGTTACATATAAAGAGGAAATGCTCCTTGATTTATGATCCTCCTACTTTCTTCCAAGGGGTTATGAATAAAAAATGTAAATTCCCTCCAATCATGGTTTGTCGCACACATAAAAAGGAATATAATAGGGAGGGTACAAGACACTCACCGGTGGTCCGACAGGACCAGGTGGGCCTGGCAAACCAGTTGAGCCCTAAAACAAAAACATGGTCTAAGATCATTACACTGCATCTAATTTTTCAATTTACATCTTCATACCTCCTAAAAACAAGCCACTAAAGGCTAGAGTTATTTCATTAATGTTGTGTAGCATATATTTCGGTTTTGTAAGAAAATGGTTTATGTTAGGACAAATTCTACTATATTCAGGATGGCTGATTTCACCAACAAGTACCTTCTCACCCGGTTCGCCATTTTCCCCTCTTGGACCATTGAGGCCAATGAGACCCTGGTGAGGTAGAGAAAAGAAACATTATCTTCTATGTAAAAGCAGATTTCTTTCTTGTTTTATCCTGCATACAAGAGTGTCAATCAATTTCACCAAAGTGAAATTACATAAAAACATTTTTCAATTTGGAGAAAAGGTCTCATGCTACAAGGGCCTTATCAAATCTGGATTTAAAGCAGCAGTTCCCGTCCGCTCTATAAAGCGTTTACAGCATTTTTCAAAATTATTAGCATTGTTTTCGACCGCAGCAGGCAGCAGTTTTCAGCTGAAAAGTTCAATACCTCTAAAAAATACCTGCCCAGCAGCAAACAGCAAACACAAAAAGTTAGCAAATAGCTGGTGAACATTTAGCAGCTAAAGAGCCAGATCTTTCCCTCAGGAGTTAGAAAGCAAAAAGAGTGAAAATTGGACTGGATATTTACCAGGTTGCCTGAAAAACGACTTAAAATTAATGATAATATGACTCTGTATCTGCTGAAGGTTTAAGTCTACCATATCAACTTAAATGTGGTCATATACATCACAGCTGTGTGCTTCTCTCTGTTGCCCCCATGTCCATGCCCAACCTCTCTTTGAAAGGTAGAACTTTTATTAGCTCAGCAGCTTGTTAGGTGATAGTTCAACGACCTGAATGGGCTGAATTTTAAACCTCAATTGATTTTTTTGGTACTGACCAAAATGTGTCTATAGCACCAAGTATGGAAAACTATCATAAACCAAAACCTGGCATCGAACTTCTGGTCAGAATCTTTTTTTCTTACTCTTTGATTGGATCCTTATCTACATGAAATAATTTGTCAATTAGACTTTTTTATTTATTTAAAAAATGTTTTGATAACATTTGACAGTCAAGTTATATGAAGAAGGGTTTTGTAGAAAAACGTTAATATTTCTCCAACACAACAATGGAAAAAACATTTTATTTCAACACTAGTATAAAAAAAAGTCAGTTGAAACTGCTTTGAATAAAAGTGACAGTTACCCATCAGTAAAAAAGTAAAGTAAATGACAATTAAGGTACTGAATTGTTAAAACATGGCCCAAAGATAGCATTCATGTGCCGCGGCTCAAACTGCATCCAGTACAGCCATGCCTTCTTTCCTCTGATTTCACAAACAGTAAATCTAACATGTAAGTGGTATTAACTGGTTTCCCTTACAAAAGCAGCTGTGCTTTTTTATTCCTCACCTCATCACCTTTTTCCCCTTTGGACCCTCGTTCTCCCCTGTATCCCCACGGGCCCTGATGTCAGTCAGAGACAAGGTGGAAAAACTTCAACAATTAAAACCACATCATGTATTATTTGTGTGCTTTTTAACTGTTCACGATACAGAATGTGCACACCTGTGTTCCCGGAGCACCAGCTGATCCGGGCTGACCATCTTCTCCATTTTCCCCGTCTCTCCCCGGGGTCCCGTCTCGTCCTGGAGGGCCCCTGTGACCCGGCTCACCCTATCAGACAACATGTGTTGATAGTGACTGTGTCTTTATCAGCCTGTTAGTGAGTAGTTATGACATCTTTAAAAGAAACTTGAAGACAACATTAACTGAAAAGTGACAAAGTAAAATAAAAACAAAAATCTGAATTGAAACAAACTAGAAATACAGCGCGTGAAGCACAACACTCTACAGCTGCAAGCTACATTATAGATTATAGGTTTGTGTTGTGAAGACATTGACCCTCTCCACCGCTCAGAGGAGCCATTTATCACACAGACAAGGCAACACCTGAATAACAACACAATGTCTAGAAGAGTGTGGCCCGCAATAACTCTGTCTGAAGACAGGTGGAAAACATGTACATAATCACAGTGAATGGCTAAACCACCTGTGCTGGCAGTGAAGGATGGCTACATGTAACAGGGTGTTACATATGCGGGGACTGATATGATGAAGGCTTTTATTTAACTAGAGTTGTTTCACTTTGAGCAATGGACTCTTTTTTGGGAACATTTTTGCTTCAAAAATGACATGAACGGTTACTCAAAATGATAAAATTTGCTGTTGGTTAATTGACTAATAATTTAATCACTAATCACACCTGGAAGCTACCTGTATACAATCTAAACATTTGCCCACTGAGCAGCTTCACTGGAGCAGCTCAGGTTTAGGGCCTTGCTAAAGAGCACCTCGGTGGTTGTAAGGGTGGAGCAAGTGCTTTTTTTTCACTAACCCCACCCAGATTTATCCTGCTGGTCCATGGATCAAATTGGCAACTTCGCAATTCAGTGGAATTTTCAACCTTCTTGGCATGGGACAAACAAAAATGTGCTTTCATCCATGTAGTCTACACAGTGACTCAAACACAAACACACAGTGGATCTATATTCTCTGCCACACGGGATCTAAACAGAGTAGACACCAAAGGCTGTCATATGGGCGATTGAGTGTTTCAAACCATCCCAAACCAAACTGTTTGCTCCTCAGTGGCAACTCATTTCCCAGCTGAGACCTCACGCAATATATGGCAACAGGCTCACATTTTCCATATGGTCGCAGTGGACTTCCATGACGCATGTTTATGTATCTGAGATGGTTTTTGAGATGGATGTAATGCAGTTTAATATACCTTTATTTTTACAAGCTGTTCACCCAAACACACTAAAGCTGGGGTAGGCAACGCTGGAAAATTAGCAAGAGACAGCTAGATTTTGAAAGTATCCAACTGTCCACCTCCTCCTTCTAGGGCTCCCTCCAAAGCCACTCCCTCAAAACAAATTCTCATGCGCAAGGAGTGCGCAGTCAACAAATATAACAAAAATGCTTCTGAAATAAATTGCCTACCCCAGCTTTAAGTCAGAGTTTTTTTTTATTCATTTGACGTGCACTAAGAAGGCAGGTCTCAGTGAAAGAATAAGAAAGATGAATTGAGAAAATGGGACCAACTACACATCTTTCATGGTTTTCGTTTTGAGTGTAATTTCCTATTTTAATTTGTTAAATCCTTGTGTCTATGCATACTTGTCTCATACCTGTCTCTGTGTTTTTCCCGTCGTCTGTATTAGATTATGTTTTTTCTTGTGTAATTTATTAATTTGTTCTGATTCCTGTTTTACTTTGTTACTTAACTCTCCTCTCATTTCACTCACTTCCTGTGTCTGTTTTTTTCCCGCTGGTTTGATTGTCCGCTCCGCCCTCACCTGTCCCGCATTATCTCAACCTTCCTTGTCATTCGTTCCTTAGTCATTTGTCAGGCCGTCTTCGCTGTCTGGTCAAGTGTCCCAGCTCTTCCTTTGTGTTTCCTGTGTTTGGATTACCTGTTGACTTACTGCCTGCTCTGCGATGGATTTTGTTTCCCTTTTACACTGCCTGCCTCACCTTTGGTGTACGTTGTTCACCTTTTTTAATAAACACTGAGAAGTGAACATGCTCAGCCTGGGTCCCCAGTGTTTGGGTCCTAAACCTCTGTTTCCCAAGTTGACTGTTGTTCTGTGTCTATGCTAGGCAAAACCTCAGTATAATCAAATTTAGAAAATAATATGGAATTTCTTAATTTAGCAATAAAAATACTTATTCTCTCAATATGAGAATGGTTACATCATAGGGAGGTTCATGTGTAGAGGGTTTCCAAACAACCACTCCCTTTAACCACGCTCACTCTGTTCCACCAGCTATATTACACTTAATTTAACTTAACATTCAACTGTTAAACTCTGCATATTGTATTGACAATCACTGTTCAATCCCACAGATTAATTTTAAACTTTGATCAGCATCCCAAAGTTTCCAATGACAACAAATATGTCAGATTCTATTCAGGGGACATGAACATAAAATGATGCCCAACATATCCACAATGTTTCCATTTGATGTAATTGTACAGCTGTAAAAATGTGCCATTCTTATTTTGACTACTAACTGTAAGCATGATTAAACTTCAGTGAATGGTTAGAATTTAAAAAAGATTTCATGGCTTCATTTAATCACAAACACATTTTTGTGCAGTGTTTGTTGATGTTTAAGTTACCACAGGCATCAACCCAGTCACCAAAAATTACGTTTCCTGGATCTAGAAAGACAGATTTTAGCAAGTGTGAAATCAAATTTGACATTTTGAAACATCTCAGAAACCTATGAGCAGGGCTTGACTTTTTTGCTCACTGGCCAATGTGGCTAGTGGTTTACCAAAGTTACTAGCCACACAGCATTTTTACTAGCCACATTTTTGTTGTTGGAAAATTACATTTTATATGATTAAAGTTGACAACGGCATGCTTAAATTGACTTGCTAAAATCTACTAATATTATCATTAGCTCTGATAAGGTTGTGTGTAAAGTTCCTTTTTTTGAAAACATGTAGTCTATTAACATAAAAAGAGTAGCTTCTTATTAAAAGTGCTGCATCAGAAACACTATTTATTTTTAACAGCAGTCAATACTGTAATACAGAGTAGAAACATTATCTGCATTAGAAATAAAGTTTTGTCTAAGAAAAAATCCACAATTAAGGTTAATTTATGTAGGCCTATATCAGTTTTGGGCTCTTTTGGATTTTTTGTAATTCATCTGCAGAGCTCTGACTGGATTTATGTTCATCATCATGAAGCTCTGGTCGCTCTGAGTAACTGGAGATACATCCACCTGAAACGAGCACACAGGTCTTTATTTTCCAGATTATCCCCTTAAAAACGCATCTTCTGCTTTCCTATACGGCATGATTACTTTTATTAAAACATAGAATTAACTCATGAAAGGTAGTTGTAATATGACGATATTGTGTGACATAAAGGCAGCCCGGCTACCACGTACCACACCATGTCCCTTAATCATGAACATATAATTTACAGCATTTAAGGGCACTTTCCTCGTGCACCCTAGCGCGGCGGCACTGCAGGAGAGAGAGCGACGCGTCTGTGGTCTGGATTCTCCTGCTATTAAAAAGGATCGCTATGTCATTGCTGCTGCAGGTTAAGTTCATAATTAACGGCAGGCTAAAACAGCCCTCAGTCCAACGGCCAGTCCACGAGTTTAATCTCCACAGAGTCAACTTGTTTCCAGTGTTGTCGGTCAAGAGAGGCTTCACGAATGGACCAATGAGCAAACACTATGTGGAGGTAGTACTCATGTGAGTTGTAGTGTCGTAGTGTCAAATAGCAATTCGTTTGTGAAAGTGGCTAGTGGGAGTGACTGTGTTAAATCCACCTGCATTGGGCGGGTTGGCTGGTGTTAATGTCAAGCCCTGCCAATGAGACTAATTACATTGATTAAGTTACTTCTGGATCAGGAAGTGATGGCTTAGGCACTTACCATCTCTCCTGGCATCCCTGGTCGTCCTCGCTCCCCAGGTTCACCAGGTGGCCCCTGAAAAATATAACCCATTCATGAATTCAGAATTAATCAAAGTAGAAATATCATTTTAAATGTGATTTATTCAGGTTAATTGTTTGCATTTATAATTATGCATGAAGCCCATCTCTTACCTGTATGCCAGGCCTGCCTGTCTCTCCAGGTGGTCCTGCAGGGCCTTCTTTACTCTGCAAGCTCACAAAGAAGAAACCAACCTCAGGTCAACAGGAACTAACAAAACAACTGAATCCCAACAGAGACATGATATTAATTGTCACAGCATACTTACAGGCCAACCAGCATGGAGTAACTGGTAGAAATTGGTTTGCTGCAGAGAGAATAGAAACACACAGGTTAAGTTAAATACCCTGAAATAAAAATAAAACAAAAAGTGTATAGCACATGGATGATACCAATCAGCATTTGTGAACACAGAAAATTATTCTATCACCTTCTCCCCAACTCCAAAAGGACCATTGCCTTATCACTGACCCTCATTCAGAATGAATGGAAACATGTGAGTGACCTCTGCAGGTTGTCCACATAAAGTTCAAAGAAAACACAGTAACAAATCGCCTTCACAAACTACTAACAGACTTTTATTTCTGTCATCTTTTTCCAATAACAATCTGCCAGTTCTCCATCATGCTGACAAACTGGTGGGTGTATTCTACAACATACAGCTGTGCCCACTACAGAGAGTTTAAACAGATGAGGACAAAGCATCAGCTTGCACGCACCACAACAGCAGGGTCCAAGGTTTAACAGATAGATTTGGAATGATCTTTTTTTGGGGTGGGGGTGACATTTCTGCTTTATTGTGATAGGGATAGCTTGAGAGAGACAGGAATAGCAGGGCAGAGAGAGGTGGTGACATATGACGTCTAGTGTGTCTTTGAGGTAACTGACATCAGTAAAGAGCTCCAAAGTCAGTAAAGAGCCCCAAAGGATATGTTAACTTGTTCTCAATTTGTATTTGCGTGTTAAATAAACAAGAAACAGCATGTAAATATGACAGCTTTAAAGGAAATCACTTGACTGATCTAGGCTAGCAGTTCCTTTGTGTATCCAGACTGTGTATTAAGCTAGGCTAACCCTGACCCTGGGCTGTCTCTGCATAGACCTTTCTGAAACACATTCTCAAAGGTTTCATGTTGAATATGATCTGCCAGTGGGAATCAGTGGGAAAAAGGTGCTGGATCAGGCTTGTCTCTAAACATTTTATTTATACTGTAACAATAGCTAGTGGTCATCCAAACCATATTTTTTTCCAAGCTCAAGACTGCATGGAGAGAGAGAAATGGAGAAGCAGAATAATGTGTAAAATCTAAGGTTACCACCTTACCTGAAAGGCAGCCCATTCCTCCGCTGTGTTCTTCCACAGGTAGAGGGTTGGTAAACCTGCCGGTCCAGGAGGTCCTGGCTCCCCCTTTCTTCCTGGACTCCCTTCAGGGCCTGTGTTACCCTGTGAGAGATGAAAAGGAAGTGGTAATTTTATAGCAAAACAAATCAATTTATATGGAAAACTCAGCACAGCCATGTTTTTAACATTCCATCATATTTGATGCAGCATTGGGGCTCTGGCATAAATAATTGACATGTATACTTAAAGGTGGGGTAAGTGATTCTGGAGAAATCCTATACTATGACAAATAACATGATATAGAGTTTACAACGACACAGTAAATAATGTAACTAACGCTAGCTAAGTTGTGGGTTAACAGACTTTCATTTCAGTTGTTGCTATGAAGCTAACATGAAGAGAGGACGAGACGGTCCCAGGTCTAGAAAGCGATACTCACAAGTCTCCTTAGCTAACATCACAACAACAGCAAACTAAAAAGTAGGCTGAATGTCCTTGGGCAGGTAATTAAATTTTAACTGACACACAAATAATGGTTGGAATAGTGTTGTGTGGCTCGATCTGAGCCACTTTGTTTGTTTCCCATTTACAGAGCCAGGGCTGTGTACAAAAAAACTTTTTTCAGCACATGCCCTAAATGGTCAGCTCACAGACCACGAGGAGATATAAGATATAATCCTGCATGCTAATTAAGAGGTGCACTTACATCATAAGGAGTCAAGTGAACTAGCTTAACATCATCATGTGTCATAAACACACTTTTCTTACCTTATCACCTTTAAACCCAGGAAGGCCAGGCTCACCAGGACAGCCCTGTGGAAATAGCAACAAGCCACAACAAAACTCATTTTAAGATCTCCCTCCCAACACTTTGAATGCCAATCAACCACTGTAAGATTGTATGGCTTAAAGTGTATTTGGGATATACATACATTTAAACTGCTTGGAACTGTGTGACAAATCCATAAATCGGGTATATCTCCCTACATCTTTACTATGTCCAGAGGAAAGCAAGGGAACCTGTGTTTAAGTCACAATCCATTTAACAAAGTTGGTCTTTTTAACTCATGATTAGGTCAATTTCATCAAGCAATTTAGTACACCTTTCACACTGATTTAGAACAGCGGTTAAACTGTTAAACGCTTGTCATACCATTTTAAAGCACCTGCCAGTCAATCAGAGATGAGTATTTTCTGTGGCCATGACATAGTAACATTCTTTTGTATCTCCCTAAAAAACACGCTTAACATATCGTGTCAAAACATAATAAAGTTCAACACAATACTTGTAAATGCTAATTCTACAGGCTAACATATACTGCTGAGCAAGCAAGACCTAAAATGCAGCACATAAGAAGAGGAAGACAGAACATCTTCCTTTATGTTCCCTACAGCCGTCATCAATCACAGTAATCTTGCTGAGTAATCCTGTGGATTTTATGGCAGCGTGACTCCGGAGACCGGCCCAGACATGACCAGATGTGCAGTCTGGTTCTGGTTCTGTCTGCCCTGCAGTCTCTGTGATGACCCACCTCTCATACCAGGTAAACCTTCCGATTGGATACTATAAAATGACTTTACTCTCTGGAACCAATAAGGTCCTCACATTGAGTAATGCTATGACAAACTGTTGAGACATCTTAAACACGCAGCTCCCTTAGTGCTCAGATCGCGGCACCAAATCCATGTGGATCAACATATGTTTGAGCAGTGTAACCTTCTTTGATCAGATTCAGATGGCAACTGATGGAGAACAGCTCTTGTAAGCTTTAAAGCATAAACAGAGGTTGCACTTTCTTCATTCAGGAGGTTTGTTTTTTATCTCATCCGACAACAGATAGCTCTGATATGATACATCAAATGTACTGTTAATTCAGTGGGAAACAAGCCTCGGCCTGCAATAGCTACAAAAACAAAAATTCTCATTGAGCAGTTTACATCAGGCAGAGCAACCTCAAGAGGACTTTCTTTATTGTAGTTTGAACACTTGGATACATACATGCATTAAAAACAATGGTATTAAATCAACATGAAGACCGTATGACCACTCACCTCCTGTCCTGGGAGACCCATTCGGCCCGGTGGTCCTCTCTGGAGCCGATACTTTTTGCCATCCGAGCCCAAGACCAGGTCTCTGTCCCTGGATACAATGGTCACAATGCCGGGTTGCTCCTTGTCTGGTTGTTTACCATTGGTGATGGTGACATGAGGTGTAGGGGAGACAGACCCGGACCTTTCATCTGTCTCCTCCCTTAGTGTGTGTGTGGAGTCTGTGGATGTTCTGGGATCTGAAGGGATCGTAGGAAGTACAGGAAAGCCCACAGAGGGCTTCTTGGTGGCACTTCCGATGTCCAGGTCAGTGATGTCATTGGATGGTTTTCTGGGGAACAGTGATGTAGTTCTCCCACTGGAGTCGGTCTTTTTGTCTGTGGTTATGTTCTCCTCTAATAGTTTCGATTTCTCCTTCTGGCTTCCCTTCGGTCCATTTCTGGAAGGTTTCCACTGAGGGTTCACTTGTCCGCCATTTTGGAATATTGGATCCAACAAGTCAGTTTCTTCATCCACCACAAAGACATCCCCACGACCTACTGTACCTTTCCGATCGGATCCTGAAGGCACCGTCCCATCCCCTCTAGAACTCCCTCGTTGCAGAAACATATTCTGTTGAGAAACAGAAGAAGAATTGGGGCTCATTCGAGAACAGTCTTCCAGAAATTTCTGTCTTATTGTGTTGGCCAGTCTGGCTGAGTGGCAATAAAGATTACTCATATAAACTTCACCTCTTCCAATGTGTAATTTCCTAACAACAATTACACTCAAACAAACCAATGTTAAATTAGTAGTACTGGATTGAGAGCATAGACCTTGTACCTGCAGATGAGTGAAACACAAATAATCTGGGGAACCATTTACCTTCCAAATAGATGATTGAGAATACGGAATTAATAAGCATCACCACCTCATCCCAACAATGTATGTTAAATCACATTTTAATGCCGAAGAATGGAAGGTCATTAAAAAAAGAAAATGTGATGGTTGTAATGAAACTATTCCTACTTAAGGACAAAAACTTGTCTCCTACAACCCTCAGACAAAACACTGCTGCAGACCCTCTTCCCTTGTTGAAAACTGTCATCAACTCTCCACTGACATCTGGCATAATTTTTCGCTGCCTTCAAGTCGATTAGTTTCTCATCTTTTCAAGACAGTTACTCATGACACGTCTGCCATCAAAAACTCAACATCACTACTGATTTAGTCTTGTTTCGTTCCACTTGAATGTTCTGTCTCTAATTAACATCTCCATGGTTCTCACAGAGTTGCCTGTTGGAGCAAAACCACTGTAAATATGTAAATATGTTTATTGATAGCACTCTCCACACTGCTGGAGCCTCCATTTGATCTTTGATCGTCATTATCATCGGTTAGATATCACATCTACATTTGTAATTGTGTTACCTTTTTGTTCGGAGGCTCCGGCTTTATATATATCTCGTTACCCTTGGGTAAAAGCTACTTTCCTCTACAGCGAGACAGCAGTCACTGTCATAGTAATAAAACTGACTTATAATAAAACTGTTGTATAATTGTTCTCACTGTAAATCAGTCTGGCTAAGAATGTCAGTCAAAGTATAAACGTATTATTATTGACTCTCGAAGTCTCAGCCACTAAAAAATATTTCAAAACAAACACAGCAGTTTAAAGTTTTGTGGTATCCAGAGGTGACAGTAAACAAAACAAAAGTAACAACACACAAAACCCTACGACGCAGGCATTTTCCCCTTGCTTGTCATATTGCATTATAGACACACACACACACACACCCACACACACCACAACACATCAGAATCTTGGGCCTTAGGGAAGAGTGGCACAGTGAGAGAGGCCTTTCAGGGGAAGGGACCAAAGGGCTGTAAATTTTGTTTGATGACCCTAATGGGCTGAAATGGAGAGCACTAAAGTGGAGCTGAGAGACATATGGAGAGCAGGAGGGCAGGAGGAGGCGAGGAGGAGTGTGCACGCTTGGAGATTTTTTGCCTTTTAGAATACATGAGCTTATACAGGTCTTTTGTGTTGTCATTTCCCCATTTTCTCTTTCTACACATCAAAGGTTTAACTTTTGCATCACGTCATCACAATATTATACAATACCAAACAGCCACAGTAACAATTTGGCAAAGCCGGTTCAAACTGATACAGTTTTGTACTTTTAACCGTTGTTAACTTCTTTGTATCCGTATGGCAGATCAATCTGTAACTATCAAGTCTCAAGAGGCCTGCAAAAAAAAAAAAATTTTTACAAAAAGGCGCTTTCTCTGTACCATTTTAGCAACACGATGCCATGTCTCTAGGGAAGGCAATGTTTGTCTTAATGCTAATTAGCAAATCTTAGCGTGCTAACAAGCTGAATAAAGATGGTTTACATGGTAAACATTATACCTGCTAAACATTAACACTGTGATTTTGACCATGCCAGCATCCCGACATTTAGCTCAAAGCCTTAGGCTTGAGCTAAATGCTAACAACCTTACAGAGCTATTAGAAAGACTGTAGGATCTTAGTCTTTTTTATTAGATTGCACACAGATGGTAGACAGAGAAAACAGCAAGGAGGCAAAGAAAATACTAAATGTATTGGGGTGAGGTCTGCATATTGTTCATGGCTTAGTGTAAACGGAGGTGTGTGTCCTGATCCTGGTACAATTATGAGGTGAGAAATGTTGTCTGACATCTCAGCTGAATCAATTCTGCAAAATAAATGCCACTTTTTAATGGGTAGAGTGAAAGTATATATTTGGTCGCAACAACGTTTCGTATCTGTGGCACTCAATTCATTTTATGGTAGTATTTAGGGTTCTACTATGTGACAAGAAACCCTCTTTATTGGTGGCATTGGTTCATGATGTTTTTGACACAACCACCTGTCTGTGAGAGCTATACTAAAGCTGCCATTGGAAGAGCTCAGGGAGCTGCAGGTAGGGTGGGTAACAAACATGAAGAATACAATGGTGCCATGCATTTTTACGCAATAGTTAAATTTTTACAGAGGGGGTCTCAAGGTTTCATATTTGGTTACAGGCATTTATTAAGGCAAAATTCAATTGAGCATGCTCTGATTGAGCATGCTCTGATTGCATTATCAGAAAGAATGATATGTTACCCAGAAATGATCAGATGAGCCTGTATTTCATTCATCAAATCTGAAATATTAGAACAACAGTCAGACTTAAAAGCTGTATTTGCAGTGAAACCTAGCCTTTGTGGGGATGGTTGGGGATAACGAGGGCCAGTGAAGAGCTGAGATAGGCAAGAGACCAAACACAGAGCTCCCACTGAGAACAAAGGCCCTTTCTTTCACTCTAATATCAGACCGCAGTCAGGCAGCCAGCCCTGTTCGATAAGCTGACACCAGATCTCCTCTGCTCAACACCATCCCCTCAGCTTATCTCCCCACCAGTCTGTGAGATAGCCCTATGAACGCCAGCCCAGGCCATACTTAGTTGGAGTACTATGACACGTTGGCCAGTCAGTCAGGAGCCGATAGTTGTCAAACACTCTTCACCGAAGAACGACATACTCTATGAAACATCATAGCATGATGTTATGTTTTAGGGAAATCTTCTTCTGGGTTATTGTGCGTGTTGAAAGCTATGTAATTAATGTACGTGTCTCAGGGTATAAAAATGTAAAAGCAGAGCACCACATAGTCAACAAACATAAGGCAGTGACTCACTACAGACAAATATGACTGTGTGTAAAGGATGCCTGCAGTAGAATAACTGATTTACTGTATAGTTCAACATTGGATTTCACACGCTGATACCAGCATAGCGTTAGATCGATGCGCCATACATTGTCAGGTCCTGCTTCAAAAGGTGCACTCCACCAATTTTACATTTTAAACTAGCTGTGTGACGTCTTCCATGGCTCTGGAGGGAGCTTTCCGAACTAGACAATTCCTCCTCATGCAACTCTTCACATACATACTCACATACCAGAGCTACTGTGCAAGATGGGGATTTGGGCTTTAATGTCTTGCTCAAGTGGACAGGAGAAACCACCAACCCTGTGACTAGTGGAATGCCCACTCCTCCATAGGCTCCACAGCCTTGTGATCAATGTGATGATGTCAATAGGGTTAGCTGGAGGTAAGACTGAGACTTCATTTATTTGACAGAAAACCTGCATTTAAAGACGATTGTGTTTAACAGGTAGGGAAGGTCTAATGAAAGGTTTTACTGGGTTGCATTATAGGAGTTGAAAGTGCCAGCATATCAGAGGCTTTATTACAGAACCTTTCTTCAAGGTACAGAAACTTGGAACTGAAACTCGAAGGATGGTTAGCCACTGTAATTTCAGACAAAGTTTAAGTACTAATCTACTCTACACTCTGTATGTTAAAAGTCAGTATCCTTATCATGATCTCAGCAAATCATTACAGGACATCTCTGATTTACTGTAAATGACAGACATGTGACAGACTTTTAACCAAACTGTGTGTGTATGGTAAATAGGGGCAACTTCATGAGCTGTCATCAGCATTAAAACCAAACGGCACAATTAAAGGCTTCATAAGATCATTCAGTTTAAAATTCAACAACTTCACAGATCTACTCTACTCTCTACTCTGCATAGCATGCATCTGAGTAGTTATCCTGTCAAACAAATCTCTAATACCCTTCTTCTTCTTTAAACCTTTATAACATGAGCCAAGACAATGTTTGCACTCGCTCTGTCTCTACCAGCTCTTTAGTAGCAAGCTGAAGCAAGCAAGGACACTGTCTATTTTATGTGTGTGTTCATGCCTTTGTATCGTAACAACACACTCTCTGAGCGGAGGAACAATGTAAGGTTTTCGCCCAGCCCCATCTATGGGTGAACAAATGACAGTCAGGGTACCAACGGGGCTCAGCAATCTCCCAGTGAAAAGGGACTGAACACAGCCTCTGAGACTGACTGAGGCCAGTCTGACCACAGGGAATACACTACCGAGAAGATTTACCACAGCTCCAGAGAGGACTCTGATTTTGGGGACGACGAAGACATGGCAGGTTCAGACGAGGACAGGAGAGGTGTCTAGAGAGAGGCAGCGACATTGTGTATAGCCCGAATATTTTCACATCTAAATAGGTGAATAAAGTCAATATTTCGACCAAAAAAAGCTGGTGATTAATGGAACAGTGGAAATCACACAAGTTTTGTATTTTCTACGATTGTATTTTTCTGTTTACAAGCAAAACTGGTGTAAGAATATTTTCTTTTGTGACATTTTTTGAGTTTATTTATTAGGCTAAAAAAAGCTAAGAGAGCTTGCGTAACGTAGCAAGCTTTCTGCTCGCACAAATCTCCAAGTTGAAACTACAGGGGAAAGCCTAAGCTATAATATGAGACTATCGCCAATTGCGGTACAAAGTGTTATTATGACACAGGACAGGCCTGGGGCTAGCTGGTTAGCATGCTAACTTCAGTTGATATCTCTGCAACAATATACATAGACGCCTTTGACGTCAGAACTGTTCTTCACATTCCGTATATAATGTTAGTTCATTTTTTGAATGTTTTAAACTAAAATTTTGGCCATATCTTAAACATTATTCATTTAAGGCTATACCAGTGCTTCTGCATTTTTGCTTTCACTTTGCTTTTCCAACCTTAAAAGC